GACACTTTCAAATTGATGAAACAAAAATTCCTCAAATCCCCCGTGACACAAATACCCAACTCCTCAAAACCGTCAAAGATTGCTGCAGACGCCAGCAAACACGCCACAGGAGCTGTATTAATGCAACCCGATGACCAAGGACAATGGCATCCATGTGCATTTTTCTCCAAAACTCTATCCCCCGCTGAAAAGAACTACCAGATCTACGACAAAGAATTATTAGCGGTAATGAGAGCTTTAAAAGAGTGGAAACACTTACTTTTGGGAAGCCCCCACACGATCCAAATCCTTACAGATCACAAGAACTTGACGTACTGGCAAGAAGCCAGGAAACTCACACCACGACAAAGAAGATGGCAGCTGGAACTGTCACAATACAATTACACCTTGGAGCATGTACCAGGAACCCACATGGTGGTACCCGACGCACTCTCAAGAAGACCTGATTTATACGTCAAAACAGAAGGAGATGACAATGACACACCAATGATACCCGCCTCGGCATTCCTGTACCACACACAAACAATTAAAAACACAGTTGAGCAAGCCATGCTCACAAACAATTATTATCCAGGAAGAACGAAGAAAGACAATTAGAGAAAAGAAAAAGGACAGTTCTTTTATCAGAATAAACTACTGATTGACGAAGTAGAAGAACAAAAGATGATCATCAAAAATCACCACAATTCCCTGTCCGCAGGACACCCAGGAAGGCTCAAAACCTACCAGTTGATCAAAAAGGCCTATTGGTGGCCAGGAATGATGAAACAAGTGGAAGAATACGTGAAAGGATGCACGATGTGTCAACAAGCAAAAGTGAACACGCATCCCACCACTGTACCATTAATCCCAAACCAGACCCCAAAAACCACTGAACCGATGAAGTACCTATCCGTAGACTTCATAACTGATTTACCAGAATCTTTAGGATACAATAGTATAATGGTCGTGGTAGACCAAAGACTTAGTAAGGGGGTAATCCTCTCACCTTGTCATAAAACCATCAACATACTCGAAACTGCACAAATCTTTCACGATTCCATCTTCAAATGATTCGGATTACACGATGAAACTGCACTCTCCTCTGTGTATCATCCTCAGACGGATGGACAAACAGAAAGATCCAATCAAGAATTGGAGATCTACCTCCGCATATTTTGCCAGAACCAACCGCACAGCTGGGCAAAATACCTTACAACCGCCGAATTCTGTCACAATCAAAGACCACACTCCACAAACAACTAATTGCCATTCTACCTCCTCATGGGATATGAACCCCGAGGAATCCTGACTAAACACAGATCCACAAATATCCCATCAGTGGAAAAACGATTATCCGAACTGCTTAGAGCAAGGGAAAACGCCCTAAAAGCACACAAACTCGCGAGAAGCAAGATGATGTAACGAAACAATGGAAAGTTCACGCAATTCTCCGAAGGACAAAAGGTGTGGTTAGAGAACACCAACCTACGAGAAAAAGCTACCAAATACAAGAAGTTCAACATGAAACGCATCGGACCTTTCCGCATCCAAGAAAAGATTTCCCTGGTGAACTACCCACTATCCCTGCCTCCCCATTGGAGGATACACAATGTTTTACATGCATCCCTTCTCACGCCGTATACAGAAACCAACACTCACGGCCTGAACTTTATCCGACCACCACCTGAACTGATTAATGAAGAAGTGGAATACAAAGTAGAAAGTATTCTTAGACACAAACCCTGGAAACGCTGTCGATGATGAGAACTGTTGTTAGAAAACCACACACAAAAACAAACTAACAAACAATCCTCCCAGATTCCACGGAACTTGTTTATGGGCTTTGCCTCCTAGAACAGTGGGTGCTCTGGTTGTTCGTGGGGTGGTATGTATGAAGGTCCTTCAAAGTAAAACCCAGAGAGGTATGGGTGTGGGTTTTGAGGAGGAGGGATAGTTGAATTTATAGAAGATGGGGGCTTAATGACGAGTATAGATGAGCACTACCTTGCTAATCGTAGCACAAAGTAGGTTTGAGAACAATAAAGATGACGAGGTGACGAGGTTCCCAGTGATAGCAGGCTCCTGACGCACAAACTGTAGTGCTCAGAAGGACTCTAATCGAAAGGGATGACAGTGACTTTCAAAAATGACGAGTGACGATGACAGCAGATAGCAGTGGTAACAGTGGGAAGTATTGTGACCACACTGGATCACAAGTAGCAGAGTAGTGAACTTGAGATTTAGAGAAGAAGTCTGGAATCGAGTTTTTTGTTGTTTTTACAAGGTAAAATACAGGGGTTTATATAGTGAAAAGAAAGGCAGGCTATGCACAGTATAGCTGCGTAAAAAGAATGAGAAAGAACATGAAGGAAGGAATGTACGCTGATGAATCCTGCGTAGTTGCTACAGGATAAGATCATCAAAATAAGGGAAAGAAAGGAATAGAACAATGAATGCTGTGAGTAATGTTACAGGTTTGTACAGCCATAAAGTAAAGTCCAATAGCAAAAAGAGAGCAGGAAAATCATGATGTCATGGGAAGATGCAGTAAAAAAAAGGGGCAAGGAAAAACACTATCAGTATCAACACAGTTCCTTTATTGTCAGTCAGGCATTCTAAAAAAATATGTGTCCATAAAAATGATTCAAAAATCAAAAATAATCGCACTGTAAATGAATATTCTGCTGAAAAAAAAGAAACTGGAGCCACCGGTCCACCACCTAGTCCAAATCCAACAGTTCCATGGCCTTACCAATGGACTGGTTGTGTTGGACCACCTGATCAAACGAGGGAGGGAGAGGAGTAGTTCCAATTTGGAACAAGTGAGTCCCAGGCAGCGTGTGGTAGGTGTAGCTGTAGCGAAGACGATGGACAAAGGATAAGTGTACCCAAGTGAATGGGACAGCGATGAACATGGGCGACGCAAGGGGATGAACCTTCTCCAGCTCAAAAACTACCCACCCACGCTCCAACCAGGCGAGACGAGTGACCGATGTTTTGATAGTATGTGATGGCAGATCGACGTCATGAAGATGGACCTGTTGCCCTATTTGGACCGGCCGCCGGGGCTTTGCTGATATCAGCAGTGGCACATGGTAGTTGACGGATCGGCGACAGAAGCGGATAGGAAGTGGTGACATCAGAAATGGTGGGGGAGCAAAGAAGATGAGGAGGAGGAGGGTGGAGGTGACGAGTAGGTGAACTAAAATGGGGATCCAGAAATGATCGTCAGGTGAGAATAAAAAGGAGAGGAAGGGGCCCATGGTGGGGCTAAGAAAAGGAAGGGGAGTGAAGGAAGCCACAAAAACGAGGGTGCAGTGCAATGTGTAGCCAGTGGCGACGCGAAAATTTGCCGAAATGACGAAATGCCGAAAGTACTGAATGGAAAAGCAAAGGTGAGCGTGACTGAATTGCCTAATAGAGGTGGTGCTGATCAGCCACAGATTTGAAAAAGGCAATATTAATTACTATTCCATGTGGCACTGTGCCTGTGTGGTGCAAAGGTGAGTCTTTTTGAATATTCGCTTCATTCTTGACACCTATCCATGCTACCAATCAATTTTGGTGCATGACAGTGCCTTAGCTTGCTTGAAGGCCATTCTTATAGGACAATTAAAGTGACATTTTATCTACACAGCCTCAGCTTGACCAAGATAAAATAAAAGATGTTTCATGCAGCCCCACAATGCTTCAAGTTGCTCAAAGGAGAAGTCAAGACAACCTTGTGTTTGCACATAATTGGTGATGAACTATGCTTTGGAAAACTGGAATAACCTCCCCTTCCTGATCAACAAGCTGATCTATCAGGTAAACCAATGTTTTTTTGGAAAGGCTTGAGTTTTCCATGTAGTATTCAGCTATATCATAATCATGAATAAATTTTGATAAAATGTGATACACATTGTGAAGAACATGGGGAATGATACTGGCCAGAATAATATGAATAAAATTGTGAATAAATTGTGATACTGCTGACTATTGACACTGATTGTTGATTGTTGACTTGACTATGTAATTAGTGATTGTCTAGAATTAACAGTTGATTATGAGTTGAGAGTAGTGCTTACTGTTGCAATTGAATTTTTCTAGAATGTATTTTGGGAAAAAAGGCTGTTTATAGTCTCATTTATTCTGGTGAGAAAAATGTTAAATAATGAAAAGAACATTATATATGTGAATCACATATTTACACAAGTTAGAAGGCTGTTAAATTGAAAAGAAAACTTGAAACAAAATATGTATAAAAAGAAAGAAAAAAGAAAGTAAATTTTGAATGTTAGTTCAATGATTGCTAGATCCTTGGGTTAATAAAATTCAAAATTTTTTGGCCTAGTAAAATGTATATTTTTCACAGTACAACATCACAAAATAATCAGTTCTACATTAAACCTGTTTTGTCTGCTTAAATTTTCACTTTTAGTCAATATTTTATTTACATTTTCTTTGAAGAAAAATTCTAAATTTGGGGTAGAGAAAAATTGTAAAGAAAGAAGGAGAAGATCTACATTGTTATGCTGAGATAAATTATGAATTGAATTGTCATTAAGTCACCAACTTGACTGTGAAAAGATTTCAACAAAAACTTTTGAGCAATTGAAAAGATCTGACAATACATATAACATTTTAATGTGAGAAAAATGATAATTCAAGGTCCAATGTTTTTTGCTGCTACATCCTAAGATAAGAGGGAGAAATTCAAGTAATAGTTTTGAATTTTATTACCATTTTATCTGGAGAAAAAAGGTGTGTTTACTTTGTCTTTAGATACAGTTTTATCAGCATTTTTTTCAAGGAAAAATTGATATTTTCCCCCTTGTGTCATCCTTGGCAGCACTCCGGAGACGTTCCCATGCACTGACAGACCTGTTTCTTTGATAGGGCGAAACCCATCTATGAGACACCCTCTTGAATGAGGTCTTCCCTTAGTTCCCAGATGAGAATACGCTGCTCATGCCTCTCACAAGGGTGTTCCGTGGTTTTATAAGGCTTTCCAAAGGGCTATCAGGTTAGCCTCATTTGAGACTTGCGTATTTGGAGTGATGTTAGTGTATCGTGAAACCGGGGTTTTATTACTATAATGGTCTTCTTCCCCGTATGTCCTCCCAATGCCATTTCTCTTTTTTCCATTCATTTTGTTATCTCGACGCTCTTCACTGACTTCCGGAGACGCTGGGAAGAGGCTCTCGGCCGTAAAGATTTTTTGAGCTCGAGGTTTCGTGGCAGCCTCATCTAAATGATTCAAGCAACAAAATAATCAACAATAACATCATATATTCCATATGACATAACACAGGCTCAACATCTTTTGTTGCAAATGGGTGGGAGGGGATGACTAAAGCTTTCAAGTCCCACAACCATGGTTAATTACAGAAATGACGAGAGGACAAAATGGGCACACTGCGAACACCCTTACAGAGCCGGTACATCACCTACAACGTCTCCCTTATGATCCCGCAACTTATGTGCTTTCATGGGCTGCAGGTTGCACTCTGCTAGAGCCAGGGGAATTGCTCGCTGGGGTGTGGCGCTCAGGTGCATCCGCAGTGTGGAGAGAGCCATCTTGCTGTACCAGGTACATCTTGGGAGGGCCGTAGGTTGCGAGAGGTTCTGGGGCACGCATTGGCCCCATATCCATAGCATGTTGTGGCTCACGGAATGGCCTAGAGGGCACCAGGTGATCCTGATAAGAAGGTGCACGTGCATATGCGTCACCTTGTAGCATTGTGCCGTGATACATATCCTGACCCTCTGTTGCATACTGCAGCATGTACCTACTAGGAAAGATCTGGCCATACGTAGGCTCCTCGCCACTGGTGTGTTGGGACATATAATTGAGGGGTCGGCAAGTCAAGGTATTGCTGGGCGAATAGAGACCAGGAGGAACATTGCTTCCATCAAATGGGATGCCTTCTTCAGCTGCGAACATCCTAGCTGAGGCAGGGGAGAGTCGCGACAGTGGGACGAGGACATGCTGAGGGTATAATAATGGCCTGGTGGTATCGACGGGTTACCGAGAGACGTTAGCAGCGGAAGACATGCGCACTGTTCAGGGCTCGTCAGGCGGTCCAGCAGGATGGATGACTTCGTCTGATCCTCCTACAGCCTCAGCTAGGTCGGAGGTAAGGTGTTACTGTGCCTCTGCAACGCTCTTGGGAGGCTTCAATGGTGTCATTACGGTGTTCCTGCGAGGCTCCTGGGAGGATCGTAGGATTGCCTGACGAGGCACTGGCATATCTTCCTCAGGGAGAGTCTTATGATGCTTTGAGCAATGGTTGGAGATGTTGTTGTCGCTGTCGTCTTCAGTGGTAACCTCGATGCGCTGTTTCAGTTTGGGTTTTACTACATTACAGCTTAAAATGTCCAACAACTGAAAATCTGGGTTTTGCGATAGTGAGTCACATGACATTGTAAAATATAAACACGTACGACCGAAAAAAAGACATAGAATCGATGTTCGCTTGTGAACACAATTGCTATTGTTGCATACTGACAGCGACTCGCCTGATACCGTCAATGGCTTACCTAGCGTTTTTGCGCTGTATGCTTTTTGTGATGTTATTAATTGGGGCAACAAGTCGGTTTGTGGATGTGTCGGGAAGGATGCGATGTTTGGAGTGTTGTGGTTCAGACGCGCCATCAAGCTCGGGAATTGTGGTGTCGTTGTTGTCAGAAAAGCCAGTTCCGTGCAAAGACCCTTCGGGGCCTGTCGATCCTTGATGGATGGCTTCGACTGTACGATTGATGCCCGCACATTGCTGGGACTCTGGTTGTGTATGACTCAAAAGTCTCTCCATCTTCTCCAGCAACCGACGACGCTTCGCTTCCTTGCCTGGGATTTCAACTAATGTTTGCGTTTTTCTTTTGTCCCGAATTTTCCTGGGGCTGACGAAATGGTGGCCGAGTCCAGAGGACATCAGCTGGGCCCCACGAGTATCTGTCTTGTTAGGCATAGTGGGTATATAGACGAAGAAAAGAAAAGTGAGAAAAAGCGTGAGAAAATAGACTTCACCTGAAAAAGTGTTGTAGGTAGTGTCAGCACCAATTTATAGTAAGGCCCTCGACGAGCATCGACCAGACGAGGAGGGTGCAGGGAGCCATCTGGAAAGGATAAAATCTATTTTTAGATTTCGGTTCCATTACAGGCGCGGATGTTGGGTCTCACAGACCGGTTTCGCTCTGCAAAAGAACCCGGTCTGTATCAATACATCCGAAAACCGCTGTTAGAGGTGTATTTGATACTGTTCGCTCTTATTTACTGATACCGAATGTCATATCAGTGATGTATTCTACTATCTTTTGTTAACCCACTCTTGCATTGTGTCAAGACGTTCTGACTGGCCAGCATGATATATATTCTGGTAACTTACTGATGTCGACTTTCATATCAGTATATGCCATGGGAGAAACCAGATCCACTTGAATCAGTCAGCCTGCATCATGGCATGATGCATGATACATGATGAATTGGGCTGTGGGCTGTAGGCTGTAGGTGGGCCGTAATATGTAACATTTAATTATCCGTCACGCTCAGTACCAGAGTATAAAGATCGCTGCGTTTTCCGAGTCAGCTTTAAGGAAATATTTCACTCAGAGAATTGAGGTTTGCAAGGTCAGGCCCGGGGCATCAGCAACTGGTCAATACTAATGAATATTCTTGCTTTCTGATATGTGTCGTATCGGTGATGTGGTCTGATGGGGAAGACTAGCCTGAGATACACGTCTTGTCTGGTCTTGCACGTCTTCTCTGTTCCTATCTTTTGATGCTCACACTGACATTGTGTCACGTTCTGACTGATAAGCATCCGACTGATAAGCATGATATATTTAGCGTCAAAATCAACTATTGGTTCGACTTTATCAGGATATAATTTGACTAAGAGACCAAGGATCAACCTGAATCATGATGTATCGCGCTGTGGGCCATTGACCGTGTAAATGCAGTATGTTCTGATGCGAGATGCACGCCTTTAGAAGCACTGACGAAATAGTTAATTCCCGTCATGCTCGGTACCAGAGTATAAAGGTAGCTGGTATGGACTAACGAGACCCATACTGAAACGCAGAATGTCTACGAAACATCAGTCCATTATCCAACCAATTGCTATTGTGAGTATGCCTGATTTCCAACAATCATTGAAAGGCTCTAATAATATGTTGCTTGTCATAGGTTGGTATAAGTGCTGAGCTTCCAAGTGGAGTTTATGCAGAGAAAAATTTCGATTACAAGGAATTTTTCGAGTTTCTCTTGAACAAAGGCGAAGCGTACGAAGAAATACCCACCGATCGTTTCGACATCCGTTCGTAAGTTTTCATCAGAAAATGTCTTTTGATAAGCCAGATAACAGAGAACACACTCAGATGGGGGGGTCATGCCATGGGTCAGGTTTCCACATCGCATGGTTCATTCCTTAAAGAGGTTGATTTCTTCGACCACACTGAATTTGGTATATCAGCAAAAGATGCCCGGGCAATGGCTTTAAGCACCAGGAAACTCATAGAGCTTTCGTTCCTAGCCCTCCTAGACTCTGGGATTGACTACAGAGGCCAAAATGTTGGGTGTTTTGCATCAGGGACAGCATTTGACATACTCAGTATTGCGGATCCGGTACGTCTCTTTCACAGAAAAGTGTCAGGTGAATCCATCCATACTATTTTTCAGGATGAGTTCGAAGCAAAAGGATCATTTGCGGGTACGCCATGTATGATAGCAAACAAAATATCCTATCACCTCGACTTAAGAGGACCGTCAATACCCGTTGATACTGCTTGCAGTTCAAGTTTGACAGCACTACACCTGGCTGTTCAATCGCTAAGGACTGGTGATTGCGAAGCCGCTATTGTTGGCGGTTGTCAGTTGAATCTGAGGTATTATAATTTTATCCTTATGATAATGGCAAGACTAATATATACCCTCAAAAGACTGGCAGATTTCGTACAGTATAGTCAAGGTTCACTTTTGGCGCCTGATGGTAAATGCAAACCCTTTGATGCAGATGCTGACGGGTAGAGTTCCGACTTTGCTGGCTGTGATGTCTCTCTTATATTATTTCTTAGGTTCTCAAGAGGAGAAGGCGCAGTTGTCATAGTGTTGAAACCATATGACGATGCCATCCGTGACGCAGACCATATTTATGGGGTAGTATGTATACCGTCGCTGTTAGAATTGAAGATTTATTGAACATCTTATACCGCTAAGATACTTGGGACTGGTATCAATGCATCAGGTTCCGTTGCTCCAGCTTATGCACCCGTAGCAAACGCTCAAATGGAAGCCATGCTTCGAGCTTATCAAGGTACCGGAAAGGATCCCCGAGATGTCGACTTTGTAGAACTGCATGCCACTGGTTAGCGTTGGTCACTAGGTCAACTGAACTGTCAGGATTTGATTCTGGAATTCACAGGAACTGCCGCTGGTGACCCAACTGAATGCAATTGGGTCGGTGAGAATTTTGGCAGAGATTCCGAGTTGCTGATAGGGAGTGTGAAAGGAAATATTGGGTGAGGTTTTGCTGCAGTTCAAATATGTAACTTTTTTTAATCGTTTCACAAGGCACCTGGAAATTACTTCATTCCTGGCATCTTTATGCAAAATATGTTCCGTTTTCGAGACTTGCATAGTCCCTCCCAATGTCAATCTCAAACGTCGCAATCCGACCATAAAATGGGAGCAATATAAATTGCACGTTCCTATGGAACCAGTTAAAATTGAAGCCCGTTCATCTTCACGAAAACTACTAGTATCTATGTGCAGCTCTGGAATTGGCGGTGCAAACGGACACGTCGTCCTGGAAAGTCCTTTGCCCAAGCTCTTGCCTACCGAGGATTGTCTCGCTTCCACCACTCCAGTCCTGATCGCAGCCGGTGGACTGTCGCCAAGGTCTACCAACGCTATCACAGACGGCCTACATGATGTGATCAATACCAACTCACATAAGTGGTCTCCTCTTTCTATCATCTTTGGTCGTCGTGTCCGGCAAATGACATGGCGAACATTTGCAATCGCTCATCCTGATAAAATATCAATTCCTCTTCGCTTTCCGGCTCCGGTGTTATCTCCTCGAGTAAAACCACCTGTTGTCTTCTTGTTCTCTGGGCAGGGTTCCCAGCACATTGATAGTAAGCAATTTTTGTCTTCATTCCATGATGCGTTGTCTATATCTCATTGATATGACCTAAGTGGGCCGTCAGTTGTTCAAGAACTTCCCTATATTTCGTGACACTGTCGTGCAGTTGGACGATTGTTACAAGAGAAAAACCGGAGTTTCTTTTATTTCTCGAACAGGCCTGTTCGATGACGTTACACTGCAAGGCATGTTGCCATCGACTTGGCCTATCTCAGTGATCCTCCCTTCAATCGCTATGGTACAGATCGCCATGTTTGATCTCCTATCCAGCTTTGGTCTCTGCCCTGATATCTTGATAGGTCACTCAGCCGGAGAGACATCACTTTTATATGCATCGGGTGCTGGACCGAAGGAGATGGCAATGGAGATTGCCATTGCTCGTGGTCAAGCGATGACACTACTCGAGGGGTCCAATGGAACAATGGCCGCCTTGGCATGCAGTTCTAAAGAAGCTCAGTCCATCATTGATTTGGTGACTACAGCAAGCGACCAGAAAGAATGTACCTTGGAAATTGCCTGTTTCAATGCACCAGAAGCCGTTACCATCTCAGGCCACACCATCATGATAGACAGAGCTATTGATGTTGCAGTTAGCCGTGGAATCCTTGCTCGGAAGATCCGTACTCGGGTTGCAGTCCACTCGAGTATGATGGAAATGTGTAAAGAGGAATACCACACATCCATTTCCCAGGTGTTTGCTCGATATCCTGGCGCCCATAGGCCTCAGATCACTACGTATTCCACATGTAACGGCAGAATCCTCGATTCTTTCACCGAAGACTACTTTTGGGAAAATACAATAGGGCCTGTACTCTTCACCTCGGCAGCTGAAGCGATTATTCATACACACCCCAATGCTTTGTTCGTGGAAATTAGTGCGCATCCCGCTTTATCTTCGTATCTGATCCAGCTAGGCGCTTCTTCTGTTACCTGCCCTATGCGCCGTACCAAAGTGCTTGTGGATCATCATGACCACATTACCTTGTTGAACACTATCGGGCATCTTATTATCTCCGGGATCAACGACGTCAACTTCAGCACGTTAAACCGTGAACAATCGTATTGTCCTCGTATTGAAGTACCACTATATCCATTTTTGAAGAAGCCTGTTCCTTATCTGCCGGACAATTCACGTGTCCTGAAAAAGCAGATGGGGCCACGAAATGGGCCATTGAACTACACAGACCTTCGAATCAACGCTCGGACTCACCCCGAAATCGCCCAGCATAGCATCAATCATGAACCTATCATGCCCGCTTCGGGATTCTTAGAAATGGTAAGTAAATAGTGTAAATTGTCTGTTCTTCATACAGAGGATATGATTTTTTTGGTCAGGTGTTGGAATTTGGCGCAACGACACTATGGAATGTAAAGTTCCACTCAATCCTATCCATGTCCGCCGAGGTACCCTTGCCAGTTTCAGTGGACCTGCATAATGCGCGCTGGTCCGTCGAATCTCATAGGGACGGTAATGCGAGTTCTTCATCTTTCTCATAATTAAAATTCTCGCTTATTTCTATTCAGTCCTTCTCCAGTCGTCTTCATGCAGAAGGGTTCATGTTGAAAGGACCACCTGAGAAGCACAGTCGCATCGATATCAAGGCCATTCAAAGCCGTTGTAAAGTGTTATCCATGGAAGGTATTTTTATTTTAGCACCTCGATGCGTATGATGTGCGAGTAAGTGCTGTTTAGGGTTCTATGATGGTTTCGAACACTTTGCCCAATACGGTCCAGCCTTTCGTCGTATTACAGAGGTTTATCAAGGTTTAAACGAAACCCTAGTTAAAATTAGAGGGGCCGACAGCGACTTACCGGGGTATGTCATTGTCTTACTCTTTAGAAGTAGTTCTAATCCCAAGCAAGGCTGGAGAAATTCGTCATTCACCCAGCCATACTGGATGCATGCCTTCACGTGGTGGTCCATCCTAGATTCACCGCGGACCCAAATCGCAAGATCTATTATCTTCCATCACAACTAGAGGCATTCACATTGTACGATACCTTTTCACACATGGATAGCTTCCCTTCCACCCTTTATTCCCATGCTATCTTTCGGGAGTGGTTACCTGGTACGAATCTCCCTTTCTTCTTGATCTCAGACTTATTTCATATTTTACGACTTCAGGCGAATTTGTCACCGATATCGAAGTAGTTAACGAGGAGGGTATCAAAATGTGCACTCTCAGTGGATTTACCGTAGCGCGCCACGAACTTGTTCCTTCGCGAAGCTTAAGCAAACGTTTTGACATGGTTTACCAATCGTTTGGAGTTGGGGAGCAATTACCGGTTATCACCGACGGCAGAAGACTTGGCTCCAATGTTGAAAATAAAATGGCGAGTTATCACCAGGTAACGCTGATTCCTCGCCATGCGACTTCGTGACAACATTTGTTGACAGATGGCTGAAAAGAACGAAACCAGTGAAGGCATCGCAAGAGCCATTTCTATCGTCGATGATATGGAGGTCGTCTACCGCTCTATTCTAACTCACATAGACAGGGGAGGGAAGAAGGTTATACGTATCTTAGGAATTGGCCTCGGTGATAGTTTTCTTCTTTCTCCTTGTCGCAATGGCTTACTCTCGAGCAAGGTTTCGAAGAATTAGGAAAACAGATACACACAATACTCAAGTCCTTGGGCATTATCCACTTCAAGATTTGTATTGCAGCTCGGGATCTGCCTTATCTGCCCCAACATTCCCTCCCCCCATTTCTCATGCCTCTTGAATTAAATTTATCCGAGCCTCTCACTCCGCAGGGGCTTGCAGAAGGAGCTTTCGACATCATCACTCTTCAGGTTGATAACAAACAACATGTGCAAAATCTGACTACGCTACTCCTGCCTGGCGGTTTTCTTGTCCTGTGGGGTGCGGTAGGGGAGGCACCACTCATATCCAGTGCTTCCGTCCCTATGTCTTCTCAATCCTGGTTGACCACGTGTTCTTCCTTAGGGCTGCGCCCTATCTCGTTTCCAGGAATATCACAATATCAGGATTTCCATCTGTCTGTGGCGCAAAGCCCTTGTTTAGTGTTAGCGGGTACATTCACGGCACGCAGAAAGCAGGATCTCCTAATGTTCCCTTATGCCATTGGCCAAGAGATGGTATTACAGCACAAACTACGAATTCTCAATATCGAGGAAGCCTTCGACTTATGGATCATTGCTACCAACAATCCTGATGCTCATGGAGCACGAGGTTTTACTCGTTCCCTTCGATGTGAATTTCCTCTCTGGAATGTTCGCCTCGCTACTTTCGAAGGTACGATCACGCGTTCAGAACAAGAGGCTATGATCCATCAGCTCGCAAGCATCCCAAGCATGGAAGTAGAAGTACATGTTGACGAAAAGCGCCAAATAAAAGTCCCGCGTTTTGTAGAGACCTCCTCTCCTTCCAATTTTCACATACTGGATCCACTCCGTTTTACTGATGATTGGCCCTCGACACATGTCCAAGTGCTAGTTTTGGCCGCTTCATCATCCAGTAGTGATATATTTGGATTGGTCGGAAGGGTTACCAAAGTTCAACATAACTCTGACCTCCCTTTAATTGACTGTACTGTTATCACCGTAGTGAAGGGCATACCAGGAAAGTATACGTTGATACACAGAGGCTCGTTCGCTTTGCTCGAAGGGGTGGCTGCCAACCCCAAGGATCTGGCATCGGTTGCACCTGTTCTCCTGATTGGTGGAATGGCTATTGGTATTGGTTATCTGAATAATCCATCTCGAGTCCGTCCAGGACGAATTATCATCACTCATAGCGAGTCCATCATGAGCCAGGCGCTGACATGGTTTTTCACCACCTTTAACTATGATCCTATCGGATTGCATTCAACGGCTTCTCCCCTTGACTTCTTAGCATTAAAGTTACATGCTGGTGACACTATCGTATCTGGATATGACAAGAGCGATCACGTTTTCGCAAGTTTTCTACGAGGTGGGATCAAGGCGATAAGCTTGAGCTCTAGCCTTGAAGAAGCTTTCGCCATCTCAGGCGACCCCTGGGCGATTGGCGATATTCTTCGGGCTGTAAAAAGCACGGTCGTGCCAATTCCGATACCAGATATTTGCATGCCCCTTAGTCCCCCCGACCCAGCCCTTCGGGCTCCACCTGCGCTCTTCAAATCTGATAATGTATACCTCCTTATAGGAGGTGTGGGGAGCGTAGGACTGCACATATCCCTATGGATGTATCAGGTGCGTATTATCACAAGCCTCGTTGATATTCACAAAGCTGACATGTGGAAACACCAACGCCAACATAAATCAAAAAGAATGGCGCTCGACACCTCACCCTGACCTCTCGTTCCGGTCGGGAAACCCTTGAACGAGCCAACGATGTTCTTGCACTACGCATTCTTAAATTTCTGGAATGCCAGCGTGACCTGTCGATAAAATTGGAGGCTTCAGATGCAGCTTCACCGGATGAATTGAAAAGAATTGTTGCATGTAGTTCACTACCTATAGCGGGATGCATGCTACTCGCCGCGGCTTTGGATGATCGCGGTTTCTTCTCACAAGATGAAAATAGTTTCAAGGCATGTTTTTCCTCCAAACTGGGTGCTTTCAGAGCCATAGAAGAGGCCTTGGAACTGCACAAGATCGATTTCTTGGTTGCATTATCCTCTATTTCAACTTTTGGAAACGCCGGACAAACGAATTATGCCAGGTGCTTTTTACGCTCACGTATGATGCAGATTCAGAGTCTTACACAACATGTGCATATAGTGCAAATACGGTTCTTGATGGGCAGGTAAGGAAATACAGCAACGCGTTCTCAATTGTTACACCAGCAATTTCGGACTCCGCTACTATGATTGGAAAGTCGGATAGCAGCGTCAATGCGACGCGCTTTGAACATCTAATCCCCTGGGGGTATTCTGCCAAAGGTAAGCCTGGTTTCTTAAATGGCTACCTACCAACATGTAATATTTTGGCACGTCGTAGAATTATGTGATTGTATCAAAGATGGCCTGCTGAAGATGGCAGATGGACCTGTGGGTCTATACATCCCAGACCTTGATTGGAATCTTGTGAACCAGTATATGGGACCTTCTCGGTTATACAACCATCTTGTCCGAGCTTCGGTTCGGCCGCAACCTCTGAAGTTAACTGAACATATAGACGACTTGCTCCGCAACATCGTCCTACGTTTCTTGGATGTTTCACCAAATGAGTTCTCTGCGGATGTCCCTTTTACATCATACGGCCTCGATTCGTTATCCGCAGGGCGCCTTGCTTTTGCTCTTCGCCCGTACCTGACCGTATCACAGATGCAGCTGCTCGCTGACTATACTTTGATTGACGTTATACGCTGCGCTATGAAAGTACAGCCGACAAAAACCCTTGCTGAGAAAGTATCATCAGCTAGCTACTCTCCTTTGGACCGACTCAATGCGGATGGAGAAGCACTGTTGAAACTCTTGGATCTTGGCGGCGAGCCCTTAATTCTTATGCATGGTGGCAGTGGCAACGTCCTCGCATTCTTACCACTTCAACATTTACTCAGGAGTTCACTGTGGGCTTTGCAAATCACCCCCGACACACCCACAGACTCTGTCAAATCCATGTCTAGACATTACTACGAGAAAATCAAGGCTGCACGACCAGCGGGGCCTTATCGTCTTGGCGGTTTCTCTGCCACGAGTATTGTACTCTTCGCTCTTGCAAAGCTCTTCGAAGAAGGTCACGACGTTGTCACACAGATCATTGTCTTCGACCACTTCCCCCTTTTGTACACTTCACCCATGTTCGAACCAGATGAAGAAACTGTCTCTCTGAGGTCTCCTGGGCCTGATATGATTCGTCATGCCCTCTCCTCCGTCTCCGGCTTATATAGAGCTGATAATGCCCAACGCCAGAAGATTGCAGCCGACTTCGAGGATGCCGTCAATGGACACGATGCTCCGGAATATATGACAGCGTGGTATAATGCGTTCTTGCGGGTTGCTGTCACTGCATATAAATTCATGTTTGAAATACTCCCTACCAATGAACCGTATTCACTCACGCTGTTGCGGGATGCAATGGTGGAATGGCTGAAGGAGGTGAAGGCACCAGTGACAACGTGTCTCGCGACTCGAGGAATTATCTCAACTATTCCAGAGGACGCTAAAGCAGGATGGGAAGACTTGGGAACTCGGAAGGTGTTCCCTCAGGCAGAACTGATCGAGATCGAGGGCACGCACTTCAGTATATTCGAGTCGGAAGTAATTGTAGATCTTATTGACAGGTATCACCAGCCTCAAACATGACATATATGAAAGCCCGACTTCTGGACGGTGAATACAGAGAAAACATATGTCTAATGTCTTGGACCCATACACACCCTCCGGACGGTTTGATGAGAACGAGGGTAGATAGCCCTGTTACGTAGTAGCTATTTAAGCAAAAGTACTAGTACTTTTGCTTAAGTAAGGACCAACCTGAATCACTGGCATATACAGTTTTAAACTTAGGCTCGCACCCAGCCATTTGTTTGCTTGTGTTCATCACCTATCAACATAGCTCATGAGCTAATTCACATTCTCAACACTGCGAACAGGCCGGGATCCCACACACTACCAGAAGGGTTTCTATGAGCTGAGAAATGTGTCTCAGAGACCCCCTCTTGGAAGAAGCTTACCCTTACACATCCTTTAGAAACTAGTGATAGTCAATACTACAACGGTATGGTATTAGTTGGGATAATGTAAAATAAAGAAACAAAAGACATACCCTCAACTGTAATCAGAACAGATGAGGGAAACATACGAAGTGGTAGAATGAGTATATAAAGACATGAGAAAAGGTCACATGTGGGTTTGAATGTCTGTTGTATCTTAAATGCTAAATCTGTGATCCAACACATCCTAGTTGAAATCTTGGTGAATATAGCTTCCATCAGGAAAGGTGCACTTTCCTTTGAGTGACTTTGAAGACTTAGACCGTCTTAGAATGAGGACTAAGGCATAAGGCATATCAAGACATATAAGAGAGTTAAGCTTGCTAAGAATAGCATACTCAGATTACTCTAACTGCTCCAATGCAGATCAAGACCATCAAGACCATCAAAAGTTAGAATATGTAAAATAGTGGACATCAATGACAAATTAAGACTTTTTGATCATGTTTCTAAGACTAAAAACACAAGTAAGATCAAGTCAGAACACAAGTCTCAATACAGAAAGAGTTGGTAATTCTAAGATGCTAATCCAAAAGCATGATGATCAATAAATTTGTTGACATAGAATGATGCAAAAGCATCAAGTGAGTTATGAAACAGTATCTGCTGGGGAATCCTGTTGTCACCAAAAACAGGAAGGAGATGCGTGGCTCATAGGATACAGTCAAGGTGAATCACCTCAGTTGTTGGTGATAGGTCCTCATTGAAGTCTGGACAGACCATCCACATACTGGTGAGGTTGTTGGGCTCTTCTTGGACTTTTGAGAACCAGTGCACTAATGCATGGGTAGAGTACATCCTGAAAGGTGAAAGAAAAAAACAGTAGGATGCAGAAAACACCCAGTCCCTGCGTCCCAGTCAACATGGGGTCCCTCTGGACAAAGACACAGTCATGCCAAGAAGGTCCTCTCTGCCATGATGGAGAAGCACATATAATTTCTCAATGCATACCTCCGAGTCCACTTTCATCACTTAGGGCATAGAACATGACTGTAGCTGAGTGAAATACCAATATCTTTGTGTTGAGTGACTCGGCTGGACAATTGGAAAGGGTGACATTGGCTGCATCAGGATCATGTAGATGTTGCTGATTATATAGAAATCTTCGGACAAGCTTGACCAGTCAAGGCTGGTCGGGCTGCTTCGCTAGTTGGTCCGGTGTCCATGCATATCCTTGCTCTGCAGTTTCAGATTTGTGGGTAAAGTAAACTAGAAAAAAAAACTTACTTCGGGTTTGAGCAAGCTGAACATGGGTCACAGTAGATGGCCCTGAAACCGGAACACTTTCAAGATTATGTTACGCACGAAGTGCTTAACAAAGTCTGAGGGTTCATTGAGGTTTTATAAAGAGACTTATCCGAAGACAAGTTCGAGAACATAGTTCTGAGTGGAGGTTTTCCAGCAAGAGTTGGTCTTCTTCTGAGTAGAAGTCTGATTTTAGGAGTCTAGCTTTGTAAGCGTAAACTGCGTAGAATTGTATTGGAGAATACTACTGCTTGTTACATGGTATTTATAATGAAAAGGAATCGGTGATAGGAGTTAGGTCCTATCTAGGGCAGGTCCGTCTGTTAAGGACTAAGTACTATAATAGGTACTGTGAATGCGAGAGGAACGGAAGTGTACGTGAAGGAAATGAGTCATCGGTCCAATGGTATAACCGATGAGTAAAAAGAAATAAGTAGTCCTTATATGTCCAATAGAGATTGTAACATTACCCCCTTACTTGCTCTGAGTTTCACCAAAATTTGGTACCTTCGCCGTCCATATTGTAACTGTCATCGTAGCTGACATCTTCATGTAATCCTTCCATCAGAATCCTATCCTTGTCTTGCCTGCGGATGGGACACCAATTGAAACTATGTCCCGGTGCACAACGGTCACAGTTGGGACAATAGTAGGCTTTGCAATAGTATGTGCAATAATCGCTCCAACCGCAGTTTTGGCAGTATGGAGCGTTGTTACAAATGCCTTCGTGGTATCTTTGTCAGGTATTGGATGAGGTGTTGGATTGGGGAGTGGTTGGATTGTCACCTCCCAGGTTGTACGTTCCTGCATACAACTGATCGATCATGGCTGCATCGTCATCTACGTTGATTGGGTTAGAGGGAGAGCCAGTTTCAGGCCTGTGCATTGCGCCAGGCGGACTGCCTTTCTGTCCCTTCGACATACGAGACTGCCATTTCAATGGAGTTCTGGCGGCAGGGATCTGGAGTATCACCTCTTGCCGGCCGCGTCGGGCTCCTCGTTGGTTCATCAGGTGACGGGTTTGGGCATTTGGCACTGGTCGAGGTGGAGATGATGGGGGAGATGGTGGTTTTGGGTTCGACCCAATGGAATGGGGACTGGAGTGGTTCGACCCTTGTGAGATCGGGCTGGTTGGGACGGTGGGAATATATTTTTCCTCCAACGGGATGGGTGGAGGTCGACAGGTGACAATGTGGTAAGTGCGCTCCGGGGTAACACTGGTCTGGTCTGAGTGCGACAGGGACCGGAGGGACAAACCGGGCGGAGGAGTACTCGTACAACCGTCTCGCTCTATCCGCGTGTGAGCTTCGTTTAGCAATGTCCTCCCACTGTCAATGATGAGAACTGTTGTTAGAAAACCACACACAAAAACAAACTAACACACAATCCTCCCAGATTCCACGGAACTTGTTTATGGGCTTTGCCTCCTAGAACAATGGATGCTCTGGTTGTTCGTGGGGTGGTATGTATAAGGATCCCTCAAAGTAAAACCCAGAGATGTATGGGTGTGGGTTTTGAGGAGGAGGGATAGTTGGAATATAGAAAGATAGGGGCTTTGTGGCGAGTATAGACAAGCACTACCTTGCTAATTGTAGCACAAGGTAGGTTTGAGAACAACAAGGATGACGAGGTGACGAGGTTCCCAGTGATAGCAGGCTCCTGACACACAAACTGTAGTGCTCAGAAGGACTCTAATTGAAAGGGATGACAATGACTTCAAAAGTGGGAAGTGACGATGACAGCAGTTAACAGTGGTAGAAGTGGGAAGTGTTGTGACCACACTGGATCACAAGTAGCAGAGTAGTGAACTTGAGAGTAGAGAAGAAGTCTGGATTGGAGTTCTTGTTGTTTTTACAAGGTAAAATACAGGGGTTTATATAGTGAAAAGAAAGGTAGGCTATGCACAGTATAGCTGCGCAAAAAGAATGAGAAAGAACATGAAGGAAGGAATGTACGCTGACAAATCCTGCATAGTTGCTACAGGATAAGATTGTCAAAATAAGGGAAAGAAAGGGATAGAACAATGAATGCTGTGAGTAATGTCACAGGTTTGTACAGCCATAAAGTAAAGTCCAATAACAAAAAGAGAGCAGGAAAATCATGATGTCATGGGAAGATGCAGTAAAAAAAGGGCAAGGCAAAACACTATCAGTATCAACACAGTTCCTTTATTGTCAGTCAGGCATTCTAAAAAAATATGTGTCCATAAAAATGATCCAAAAATCAAAAATAATCGCACTGTAAATGAATGTTCTGCTGAAGAAAAAGAAACTGGAGCCACCGGTCCACCACCTAGTCCATATCCGACAGTTCCATGGCCTTACCAATGGACTGGTTGTGTTGGACCACCTGATCAAACGAGGGAGGGAGAGGAGTAGTTCCAATTTGGAACAAGTGAGTCCCAGGCAGCGTGTGGTAGGTGTAGCTGTAGCGAAGACGATGGACAAAGGATAAGTGTACCCAAGTGAATGGGACAGCGATGAACATGGGCGACGCAAGGGGATGAACCTTCTCCAGCTCAAAAACTACCCACCCACGCTCCAACCAGGCAAGACGAGCAACCGATGTTTTGATAGTATATGATGGCAGATTGATGTCATGAAGATGGACCTGTTGCCCTATTTGGACCGGCCGCTGGGGCTTTGCTGATATCAGCAGTGGCACGTGGTAGTTGACGGATTGGCGACGGAAGCGGATAGGAAGTGGTGACATCAGAAATGGTGGGGGTGCAAATAAGATGAAGAGGAGGAGGGTGGAGGTGACAAAAAAGTGGATTTGAATGGGGATCCAGAAATGACCATCAGGTGAGAATAAAAAGGAGAGGAAGGGGCCCATGGTGGGGCTAGGCAAAGGAAGGGGAGTAAGGGAAACAACAAAAGCGAGGGCGCAATGCAATATGTAGCCAGTGGCAACGCGAAAATTTGCCGAAATGCCGAAACACAGAAAGTACCGGATGGAAAAGCAAAGGTGAGCGTGACTGGATTGCCTAATAGAGGTGGTGCTGATCAGCCACAAGTTCTAAAAAGGCAATATTAATTACTATTCCATGTGGCACTGTGCCTGTGTGGTGCAAAGGCGAGTCTTTTCGAATATTTGCTTTGTTATTGACACCTGTCCATGCTACCAATCAATTTTGGTGCATAACATTGCCTGATTCCAAATATTCCTTTGCCGAGTCCATCTGCCCATTCAAGGAGCTCATCCTCAAGCGTCATTCCAAAAACTCCAAAACTAACTTTTCCATCCGGAGTGCCCGATAGATACTCGAGTCCTGACTGTTGAGCTGCGAATGCTCGCTTTCCAACAAATGTATTGAGTCTATGGCTTTTAGGAGTTCGTCAGCTATGAGGTTTATGGCAAGGAAGGTATGCATGGAAGAAAGAGCGTAATACGCATGGGGGCAGCGTTTTTTGGTCTCGTAAAAGAGATAGGTATAGGCGTCTTTTGCTGACATTAGCTCTATGGCGTCAGTAACATTGGCTTGGTTGTGTCGTTGCCCACGGGCAAAAGACACTTGTTCATTGGCTAGCAAGTTGGCGTCGCCGGGTATCGAGTAGGTGGTGATAGGGAAGCTGGTGGAGTTAGAAGTAGACATGTTTTTGCGTTGAGAGACAGAGGCTTGTTGGTAGTGGGGTGATTGTCTCTTCAACGTAGCTTGTGGTCCTTCTTATAGGCTTCCAGTATCTCCGCAGCATTGGTTAAATGTTCTTCCGGTTCCCATAAGTTTTCGGAATGAGGGTAATGGCGCCATTTAATCAGGTAGCGGCGCCCGCGTTGTCATGCACCAAAATTGATTGGTAGCATGGACAGGTGTCAATAACAAAGCAAATATTCGAAAAGACTCGCCTTTGCACCACACAGGCACAGTGCCACATGGAATAGTAATTAATATTGCCTTTTTAGAACTTGTGGCTGATCAGCACCACCTCTATTAGGCAATCCAGTCACGCTCACCTTTGCTTTTCCATCCGGTACTTTCTGTGTTTCGGCATTTCGGCAAATTTTCGCGTTGCCACTGGCTACACATTGCATTGCGCCCTCGCTTGTGTCGTTTCCCTTACTCCCCTTCCTTTGCCTAGCCCCACCATGGGCCCCTTCCTCTCCTTTTTATTCTCACCCGACGGTCGTTTCTGGATCCCCATTCTAGTCCACTTGTTCGTCACCTCCACCCTCCTCCTCCTCATATTATTTGCACCCTCACCATTTCTGATGTCACCACTTCCTATCCGCTTCCGTTGCCGATCCGTTGACTACCACGTGCCACTGCTGATATCAGCAAAGCCCTGGCGGCCGGTCCAAATAGGGCAACAGGTCCATCTTCATGACGTCGATCTGCCATCACATACTATCAAAACATCGGTCACTCGTCTCGCCTGGTTGGAGCGTGGGTGGGTAGTTTTTGAGCTGGAGAAGGTTCATCCCCTTGCGTCGCCCATGTTCATCGCTGTCCCATTCACTTGGGTACACTTATCCTTTGTCCATCGTCTTCGCTACAGCTACACCTACCACACGCTGCCTGGGACTCACTTGTTCCAAATTGGAACTACTCCTCTCCCTCCCTCGTTTGATCAGGTGGTCCAACACAACCAGTCCATTGGTAAGGCCATGGAACTGTCGGATATGGACTAGGTGGTGGACCGGTGGCTCCAGTTTCTTTTTCTTCAGCAGAACATTCATTTACAGTGCGATTATTTTTGATTTTTGAATCATTTTTATGGACACATATTTTTTTAGAATGCCTAACTGACAATAAAGGAACTGTGTTGATACTGATAGTGTTTTTCCTTGCCCCTTTTTTTTACTGCATCTTCCCATGACATCATGATTTTCCTGCTCTCTTTTTGCTATTGGACTTTACTTTATGACTGTACAAACCTGTAACATTACTCACAGCATTCATTGTTCTATCCCTTTCTTTCCCTTATTTTGATGATCTTATCCTGTAGCAACTACGCAGGATTCATCAGCGTACATTCCTTCCTTCATGTTCTTTCTCATTCTTTTTGCGCAGCTATACTGTGCATAGCCTGCCTTTCTTTTCACTATATAAACCCCTGTATTTTACCTTGTAAAAACAACAAAAAACTCGATTCCAGACTTCTTCTCTAAATCTCAAGTTCACTACTCTGCTACTTGTGATCCAGTGTGGTCACAATACTTCCCACTGTTACCACTGCTATCTGCTGTCATCGTCACTCGTCATTTTTGAAAGTCACTGTCATCCCTTTCGATTAGAGTCCTTCTGAGCACTACAGTTTGTGTGTCAGGAGCCTGCTATCACTGGGAACCTCGTCACCTCGTCATCTTTATTGTTCTCAAACCTACTTTGTGCTACGATTAGCAAGGTAGTGCTCATCTATACTCGTCATTAAGCCCCCATCTTCTATAAATTCAACTATCCCTCCTCCTCAAAACCCACACCCATACCTCTCTGGGTTTTACTTTGAAGGACCTTCATACATACCACCCCACGAACAACCAGAGCACCCACTGTTCTAGGAGGCAAAGCCCATAAACAAGTTCCGTGGAATCTGGGAGGATTGTTTGTTAGTTTGTTTTTGTGTGTGGTTTTCTAACAACAGTTCTCATCATCGACAACGGATGCACAGATTTCAACATTGATGTGACAGTCATATTTGGCAGAGAGATATGCATTGTAAAGGACGACATCACGGTTAGGCCTTGCATATTCTGGATAACCATCATCACCAAATCTGGTTTCAGCACAAAACCTTTTGCAATAGCGCTTTGAGCATGCTCCATTCTTCATGCACTGGGCTCCAGGGTGCTCAGGTCCACATGGACCGTGCATCATACACTTTGTGACCGTTGAATATAACTTTGGTTGTGTGACAGGATCAGGAATTTGAGCAGAGACAACAGAGTCAACCTGGGCGGCATCACGGATTTTATATTGATCTTCCAAGAATATGAGAAGATGCATGTGTGGCAAACCCTGCTTTTGGTATTCCACAGTGTAAACAGATCCCGAAGTCTTTCCAAAGATCCCATCTTTGACTTCCTTCAACAGTGCCTTCTTTTTCTGATAGAAGACACATGCAACAATGTCAGGACGGTCTGCAGCAGTCTGTTTTTTGGTAGGCATATCAGGGTCATCATCTACTTCACCGGCATTGTTGTATTCCAGCAAAGCCTCTTAAATTTCAGGCCAGTTGGTGTTTGCTGTCATTGTAAGGAAAATATTGGGTTTATGGCAATGGCGACATATAGCCATGGAGTCCTGGAAAAGCTGGTACATGTGCCGTGTACTGCCAGAATGAGAAGATGGTAGGACAATGTTCTGGCCCTGTTGACCCAAATCTATTTCCCCATCATTCTGATCCATAGCATCTTTGATGCCTTGGTAAAAATCTGCCCTTATGTCTTTTTGATGATGACGGACCCACTTCAGTTCACTTTCTTCTGTGGAAGCCCATGCATCAACGCAATACTCCTGAAGTAGTTTTCCACCATAGAAAAGATTAGATTGATTGGTTCTTCGGGGATGGAGACGGTATGCATAATAACACCGCTGGGAGACATATTCACTGCATATATTTCCATCAGCATTTTGAATGGACCATATTGTCCTATGCCACCCTTGTTCTCCAAAGGGAAATAGAAGGACATAATGCAGAGGTGAATAAAGGGGGTGCAAATGGCTGATATGCTTGAGACCACTACAATGATCAAATTGCTTCAGCCACAAAACAATATCACGGTGCTCATCAACATCTTGTTCTCCATCTCCAGGGATAACAGCAGCAACTTTATCTGCAGTAGGAAGATTATAACAATGTTGGTCCAGAGTTTGATCAAGAGCTATATGGGCTGTTATGTTGGCACATTCTGCTTCAGGCTTTTCCATGATGATCTGATAAGCTTGCTTGTACAAAGGGATGAATGGATTGAATTGCTCTAGGGTATCCTGAATCTCCAGCATGGTTGCTGGTGTAGTGCCATGCCCCCGATTATTCTTATTAGGTAAAAAAAGGGCAGTCTGTGGGTTGTGAATGTAAAGCTGGCCAAAAGAGGGAGTTTCACCTTCAGGTAGATGGAATGCGCTGATGCTATGATGAAGGCCTCCATGGATACGGAAACTATAAGGTCCTACAGCACTTGTGACAGCATGTTCTATCTTGACACCCAAAGATATAATTGCAAAGGCATTATTGTATGAGCCAACTTTGTCACGGAATTCACGTGCAGTAATGTCAACCCCACGGAACAGATGGAGTAGTGCAGCAGGTGCTTCCTGGAAAGGATCCAGCCTAACTTGACCTTGAAGGCAGCACACACCAAATTTTGGATGGATCGTGGAGGAACTTGTAAGTCTCTCAGTATCCCAGTGTAACGCTCCACAATTATGGCACTCTACTTCCATGTTGTGTAAAGTATGACGGTATAGAGGCTCTACATATGGTTGTCGGGCCTCCTAGCGTATCACCTGTGCTTGGCGGCGGTTGGCAATATTTTGTTTGTTTGCAAGTCATTGAGGCCTTAGCATCTTTAGTGCATTTCTGGCAGCTACCAGTTCATTTAAGTCCTTGCCTCGGTCTACAGCATCCCTGGCAGCCCTGTGAGCCTGATCTGCTAGCTCATCTTCCCTCCTTTCAAGCTCTTCTTGAGCAGCTCTTTGGATTCTAATGAGTTGCTGAGCTTGTAGCTCTTCATAACACAGATCAGCATGCTGAGAATGCTGCTGTACCTGTAGTCTAATTGCCTCCTGACGCTCAATTTCTCTTTCCTGGTGATCCTCAGCCAACTGCTGTTCCTGCCTTTGGAGCTGTATTGCTTCCTGGTGTTGAATTATCTCATCCTCAGCCTGCTCCTGCCTCCGTAGTCTATTACGCTGTTGATTAACCCATTCTGCATGTCGGTTTTGAAACCCATCTAATAGCCTTTCATTGTAGTCAACACCATGGGTAGCAAGCAACTGGTTACCCTGCCACATTTGAAAAGGGGGCTGCAATTGAGGGTATGCAGGTCCAGCTAATGGCTGAGGCATGTGATTATCATGCAAAGGTCCTCCAAAATTTGGTTGCACAATATTGATATTTCTATTTCTCAAATCTCTACAATCCAAGAGGTGCTCCCATTGCACACTTGGTGATGTCATCTGTTGATGACATTGTATACAATCTCTATCGCAATGTTCACCACGTTCTCGTTCAGGTGTCTGTGGAATATGTCTACAAATCACATTGATATATGGTTAATGGCACATTAACAATGCTACACATACTGCATATTTGAATTGCTCATATTCATATTTATGTATTTGCTATATTCACTGATTTGTTGATAATTTGGGCTTCTGTAATCAATGTGTCAGTTTTAATTGAATCAACACCATAAACTGTTATAAACTCACGTTGTGTAAGCTGTGTTTTTATGTGTGGGGAAGGGTCTTTGATTTTATTTTTATACACACCACAGTGTGGTCAATAATGGCTGTTAATTTTTGTAATGCAAAATGTGCAAATTCTCGACAACAATTTGTTTTGTGTGCCAGACCACTTCCCCACATAGTAGGAAAAGAGGTTTGTTTGGTTGAGTTGTGTCACGTCGTGCCACAGGCGTGAGTTTTGGTGTCCACTAATCGCGTTTTGTAGTAAAAACGATTAAGCGCGAGAATTTTCAACATGGCTACGATTTTCACTACAAATTGTTGAATGTCCTTATAAGCGTGAGAGTTTTCAATGTGGCTACGATTTTCACTGCGTTCACTGCTACTGTACTGCTGCTCCTGTGTTGCCACAAAAACCACGCGAGCGAAGCTAAGCGAAATAACCGACGCAACGTGGCTCGCACGCGGCATTTGGGACCACTGTCCCCTTCGTTATAGATAGATAGATAGATAGATTATAAGTACATGTCATGAGCATATGAACTGCATTCACAAAATTCTTTCGCAGATAGATTCATTACATTGTAATCTAGCACTGACAAATTCTTAGCTACTTGTAGAAAAAAAACTTGAGCCTGTGGATGCCCAAGAGCATATTTAATCCCGGATGCCATAGCTTTCTAACGATAGTATAAGAAAATGTATATTTTCGAATACTGTACAAAAGTGTACCAATAGTTTGTTGCTGTTCACTGGCAACCATCCACTGGCAAAAAACACAGTTAGATAAATGTATTGGAATTAAGCACCACTGGCTCACCATTCAGACCTCGGAAAGCACGACATCTACTTATCGAAGATGGTTTGTCTGTTTGCTTAGACCACTATTGTGAATGTTAGAAAGTAATCGGAGAAATAATTAAACGAGTATACCAGCATGGAAGGAATCGGCCTATCTGGTTGAATGTGCCTAAACTACAGTGCGAAGGGACTGTCAGATGAAGAGGAGGGATGTATCACAGTACGCACCTCTTTTGCAGCACTAACGTTCCATACACCATACGCAACAGCGAGAATACCAGTAAAAACAAGAACGGTGTTGGAGCGCCAGTTCGAAGGACGGGTCCACCAACCACCTAAGATGTGTGAATGGGTGCAAAAGGCTAATTGCGTGGACACTGACCTGCGGGTGACCAGACGTGCTTCGGGTACGGATATCTAGCTCCTCCGCCCTGTGTCCAATTTTCAGTCGGTGTTAAGGGTAATACAGAGTTGGACATACCATGTTGTAGTGATTGTGGAAGGTTACGAGGCGGACCGTGACATTCGACTGACGACTTAGCGCAGTGGTAACCCTAACCTATCGGACCACCTATTACTCTTGTACTCAGAGTCCTCGTGAATTCGTCCGCCGGTATACATACTGTCGCCGACAATGTTCGACTCTGTGCGATCCTATCTCTATGCTCGCCGGCCTATGTTCGCCAAAGCAGCAGGCATGTTCGGTGGGGTGTATATCGTAGCGCAGTACATCAGAGACCGAGTCGAGGAAGTAAAGTACAGAGTAGTGACAGAGAGAGTAGCAAAAGAAACGTGTGTGTCCTTATGTTCTCTACAGCTAAATTCGCTCACATTTTTACTTAGTCTCCGTCGTCGGTATGATCAAACTCGAGAGGATACATCTTACACCATCACTGCACTGATACCTACACTCGCAGAGCAAATACTCACAGAGATGGACGTAGAGGCTCTCACCAATGAGCTCCAATCAAGATCGCGCGCCGGGAGAGAGGCACGCACTCTTCCCGCTGCCCCGCTCAACCAAGAATACCTTAACGCACCTTCTCCTTCCTACTTTCATAATAACCCTTCCACACACCCGAAACCGGCCCCTGCCTCTGGATCAAATTCAAGTCTTGCCTCGTATGATGTAGATGCTCGAAGTGACCTCTCTGCGTCTGCTTCTCTTGCTTCAGAATCGTATGAGGCTTCAGTGAGGGAATCAGACGGAGGCTATGGCATACAGTCCACCCCGAATTTAGGCCACTCGCAGACTTGGATAGATACTTCTGTCAATTCTACCATGGGATCTTCATACTCCCATATCGACAGACCGCTCTCGCCAGAGGTCAATCATGTCCCTGAAGGGGCCCCGCCATATACCCCAGACCCTATCACCACTTCTGACCTCGAGCATGGTACCCAATCTCCCCTTGATCGTGACCCAGAATCGGCAACAAACCTCTCGGGTTCTATCGCCACGAGCAGCTCTGCAATGAGCCACATTGATAGGCCTGTATCCACTTACGATACCTTGTCAATACCGGTGCGTACTCCTCGCTGTTCATTGCGTGTGTTTCTGATAAGAAATCCATCTCATTTGCCTTCCTTATACCCTTTCAGGCGAACATACGCGTACCACATACACCTTCCCACTCTTCCCCGCTTACATCTACCTCATCAAACCATCTTCGCGACAGCACACGTAGTAAAGCCGAGTTGTGGAAGGATGTCAAAATACTCAGTACGTCAAGTCTTTACTTTTCCCTTTTCCCATTACTCCCCTTTACCCTGTATTTCATGCCCCCTGTTTTCTGCTTCCGATTTCTGGTCTTTGGGCTATTATGCCCGCGTGCTTTTCTTCGTGCGTGCCTTTCTTCAGCGTCGTGACCTACGTGCTATGCTCCTATCTTTATTCGATCAGCTTGTCCTTTCCTATGTTGTACTCTATATGAACTAACGCTCTTCCTATTATGCTGTATCTTTTCCCCAAAGCCCTGACGCGCACATTAACAACCCTGTACACCACTGCCCTCCTTTCCCTTCTGACCACCGTCCAACTTACATTACTAGCGAGGAGTAAATATGTCCATGGTATCTGGGAGGCAGCTCTCAAGGAAGAGAACGATTGGGCGTACAGTAAAAGCTTATATCATCTCCGCGACGACGATGAAGGAGAATTGGACGTGAGGACGATGCAAGAACTCGGTCTACGGATCGATCATGACGCAAGTAATATATCCAGTGCGGGAGACATGAGCATGAAAGCGAATATCCCACTACTAGCGGATATTCCGGAAGATGTCGCGGAATCATACCTCTCTCTGTCTTATCATATACTGCATGTGGGATGGAAAGAGGTGGGCGAACGTGTTGAGGAGGCCGTCAAGGCTATTTTTAATAGGTGAGTTATGCATTCTTTAAATTGGTTTTGATTTTCCTCTCTTGATCCTGTCTAAGTTGTTCGATTTTTTACTTTTCGGCTTTTTCTCCGCTGCGTATACTTGTGCTGATGACTGAATTGCTTTTGTCCTGCCTGGAATAGTGTATCGCTGAAAACAAAACTAGGTCCTTATGAACTTTATAGGCTTGTTAGTGATGTTCGCAAGAGAGTCGAGTTCGAGATTGAGGTCGATGATATTGGCGTTGGAAGGGAGAAAAGAGTGGGGTAAGTTGATTATATTCTTCCTTTTACTTTCCTGCCCTACCAAAGGGATACATGAAGAGGTTTTCTGGTTTGGGTCTCTTGAATCGTAACCGTCACGTTCAATGAATTAACCCGTTTTAATCGGCTCATCAAGGCCCTGTTGATCATTTTTACTAAGATGGGATAGTTCTCTGACTTCACCATTGTTGCCATTATAGATTCCTCTCGGCACTTCTACCTCCAGCCTCGGAGAAGCAAACTGATCAACCTATAGGTAAAAACATCTCTACCTATCTCACACTACCTTCCAAAACCCTTATCCATCTTTTCATACAGTGTTGTATGGAAGTGCACCAGGCTCGTCCCAATCGGTGAAAGAAGGCAAAATCCTCGCTGCTCTCCATGCCGAAACTCGGACTCTCCTCTCTTCGCAAGAATTTAGTATTGTACTGGAGGCATGTCTTGATCGTGCAACCGATGTACTGTTCGACGGCTTGGGGAAAAATGTCTTCGTTGAAGCGCGTGTAGCGCGGGGGGACGGCGACGGGGAAGGATATGGGCAGGAGGAAGACCTGAAACTCCGACTTGCGGGGCTTCTTCCTGGACTTGCGAGATGGAGCCAGTTGGCACTCAACGGACTACCGAATGAGCTTGTCGAGGTAAGTGTTCTATCAGCTCTTTACCAAAAAAAGCATTGTCGTTATCACTAGTGGCCTGTGTTACGCCTTTGATTTGCATGCTAACAATTGCGCTTGCAGAACCTGATGAATGTGAAGGAAGTAGCTGCTTGGGAAGCGATCGTCTTGGCGAGTTATGAGGAATGGTGTCTGTGATAGCGGTGTGTGCTGTTTCCAACTAAGAAGTATGTAATATTTTTACTAATTTGTCGATCGCTGTATATTCGTGATTAAGAGCAGTGAAGGGAAAAGGCAGTTTATTCTTGCGACTGCGAAGGTGTATTTAGGACAAACCAAATGCTAAATCATCTGTTCCCACAAGATGCTACATCCCTTCATCAACCGGTACGAGTACATTCTGTGCTAACGCTCTAAGCAGTAGGTCAGCCCCAAACATAATCATGGATGAAATTTCTAGCTTCCGTTATGTGGCTTATTGCAAAATGTTACAAGTAGTGACTGTAATTGCACCTAACAAATGTGTGGTCGCGTGATTATTACTGGTATCTGTGAATCCAAGGCCATGCAAAAAATAGGTAAAGATGGTCTGCAACAGTCAACATACTTGAATCTGAGTATTCTGCGGGAGGCTCAAACCGTTGGATAAATATATAGATAATCCCATACGCAGCAGCATACGGCAGACTGTTCGAGCGCAAAAGACAAAAATTAAATTAAGTCCAAATCGTAAGAAGAAAAGCTCTAATCAATGGAATACTTTCTCCCAAATGATAATAGCGACAAGGAGAACGAGAACAACGATGATAGCCACTGTCACAACCCTTTGTTGGTACATCCTAGATCAAGGCATTAATAACGGACCAGTGAAGAAGCGATAACATTGACATGCCGTCTAATCATCTTTTTGAGCGTACCCGACGCTCGGTCGATTGCAGTGTCAGCCGTGCGAAGCTAGCGTTAGAAAGAAGTACGTTAGTATGTAAATGTGTAAGAAGCGTGCCATGTAAATTAGTCGTACAGTATCTCTCGCGTTCTCGATTTGTTCTCTCTGTGTTCGAAGGTTGAATAGAATTTCAGCACCCTGATCTTCGGTCTCCAAAGCAATACGCTGCGAATCCTGGAGACGCCTTGTTCCATCTTCTAGGACAGCGGTTCCCGTCAGCAGCCGTGTTCTATCAGAGGTAGGACCATAAGGTTCGTCAGAAGTGGGTATACCGGCCCTCGCTGATGACATGAGGAGATCAGAGCGAGACAGCTGCGAGTAGGCATCTTTCGAAAGCTTCTTGTACCGGGACAAGTCAGCTTTGGCAGTTCGGAGCCTGTTCTGATACTGTATTTTGATGGACTGCGGTATTCCTTGGATTTCAATCTCCATTTGAGACACCTACAGGGCGTTGATAAAATGGCAGGATATATGAGCAACTGGAGAAAAATATGAAAACACAGCTCGCCATTTCGTCAGCCTCATCCAACTCCATCTCAACCCTCCTCAACGCCGCCTTCCTTTGCTCTGTACCGTTACGAATTAATATGAGCAAAAGGTACCCCAACAGTTTGGTATTCACACTCACCTGAGCTTTCCTCTTTGCCATCGACATTCAACTTTGATCCTATACTATCAACAATCTGTTGAAAGTCATGTTCATAAGAGTCAAATAACGCAGTCGGTGAATTATCCATGTTGTCACGAGGCCACGGGTCTGCGGGTGACGTTCACTGCTTGATAACTGTTACACAGATGAAGCTTGAATCTTTTGGCCTGTCGCGGTCAGTGCCTTGTGTCGTCAGTAGGAGAATGCAAGTGAGAGTTGTTGCTGAGAATGGCGCAGCCATGGCAGGGACCCCGGGAACTGCAATATATCTACCTTCCATATGTAGATGGCCTCACATCCTTTCCAGTATGCGGCTGTGTTTACCTTGACGATTCTACTTGGCTTTTAGGTATCAGTGTCTTCTACCTACGAACATTCATGATGCTACATAAACATCTTCAACGTTTGAAGTGGTGGAGGCACGATGCCTACTTATTTAATTCTCATTCGCGATAGAATATGTACAGTACTGTGCACCAAATCATATGTATTATACAAGCGATTCTCTAGACTTTTCTAGAGAACGCTGAGCTAGGAGCGATTTATCGGAACCGCTATCATTCACCCCCCATTCCTTGTCCGTCGATGTATGCAATGGTAGTGCTTTCATAACAAGGCTTACAAGCAACCCCAACCCAGCCACTCCAATGAGTACTTGCCAAAGTACACACAGGCTGTCTGCAAATGCAACTCTAACCTCTGATTTCAAAGGCTCTTCAATGGCAGAAACAAGTGGTATGACAGAATACGCGATTGCAGTTCCTAGTGGGAACACAGATGTAAAGTCATCTGGTAGCCGCTTGCTGAATGCGTTTTGTAGAATGGTGTCTCCAATGGTAAGACCCCATACCTAAAAGTCATGGTTACATATCAATACTGGAAGGCTGCATCAGCAAAACGTACCTGAGCAAAGTTGCGAAGGAAAGTAAAGAGCGCTAGTGCACTTGCATTAGAGGACACGGGTAACGGTGCGAGGACCGGGAAATATGTGGTAGTGCTGATGATTCCTATACCCACACCAGCGATGATCTGAAATCCTATGGCTATTCCGCGAGAACTGTCCGCATGAAGAGTACTGATCATGGCCAGTCCAATGATCGCTATTACCCAACCGGTCCATAACTGGATACGATATCCACGGGAAATGGTCACAGTTATACCCGCGATCACACCAGAAGGAGCTACTGTGAATGCAATGCCAAAGCCATCGACGCCCGAAGCAACAGGAGACGCTCCTTTGCAAGCCTGAAAGTATACAGGCAAGTAATCTTGAACGAGAACAAGTATTAGATGGCGCCATGAACGAAGAGGATAGTGACACACAGACGATACAAATGAGTAGAATAGGCATGACGAAAGTTTGAAGGAATCCACTTGCTCCTGTAACGGTAGACAAGAGCGAAAATGGGATCTACGCGACAGCAACATTAAGGTTTCGTCGAACTCAAAAGTTAACGGCTTGGAAGTGACGTACCATCGGATACTTAGGCACGTAGGATTCGTACACAATAAATACAAACAGGCCAACAAGCCCCAAGATAAGAGGAACAAGAACTCTGGCAGAAGACCACGGATATTGGACACCACCCCATGTCAAAGCAATGATACACGACGTTGTGCTTGCGATGACGATAAAGTTCCCACTAGAATGTAATGCGCTTAGTTTTGTGCAAAAGGGGCTGGGTTAGTACATACAGCCAATCCATACGCTCCCACTTTTCTCGCAGCGTTGACGAAGGTGCGCGTAACTTGAGGAACAAGAGTACCAAAAGACCTGCAACGGCACAGAATGGTACGTTTAGGTCTACAATGATGTCAGTATTATAAGCGAATAATGTGGTCTGGAGCTATGCTCACAAAAAAGCCATCTCCATTGGCCGCGCTGAGCGAGAGCTCCGCCGACAACGGGGCCAATTCCACTGGCAAGAGACCATGCTCTATAAACCGATCACTCAGACCGACACGCCCACCAAAGGTAAAAGAAAAACGTACAATCCTATCATACCGTTAAATAGTCCACGCTCGTGGAGGGGAACTAGGTCGGATAGGATGATCTGAGAGAGAGCGGCAATACCTCCACCTCCAACGCCCTGAATTGCTGAAATACCGCTTAACCATCTATATTTTTCTCGGAGCAGGACAGATGAATTCACCCCTCCCAATGATTAAATGACCCAGACTAGTGGCTGAACCACAAATAGTACTTCCAATCGCAAAAAAAATCAAAGCAGATAACATCACTGGTTTTCGGCCCCATATCTGTTGAGATGGTTTGAGCTGAGTTTGTAGGACAAAAATAAAATGAGTATAGCACCTCAGCAAGGCTCCCACTTAAAGGTACGAATGCGGTAGCGGCAAGTGCATATGCTGACCCGACCCACACAAACTGTGTGCCGTGCAGATCGTCAACGATCGTCGGTAGAGCTGTTGAGACAGAACACTTGAAGATGGTAATGAAGGGTACAGTTAATTAACATTAACAGGAATGATTGTGAGACTACTCACAAGTTCAAGAGCAGTGTTGAAGAAAGAAACCGTAAGAGACAAAAAGATAAGCCAAAATCTCCAGTCCCGTTTAGCACTAGTATTAGGAGGCAGCGACGGCGGTTGATCAAATGAGTCTGATCTCGGGTGCATGGCTTTACTTCAGGGTTAATATGTCGCTGAAAACCTTCCAGTCTCTTGGACATAGTTGCTTGGCTGACTTAAATACATAACTGCACAATGCACTGCTGGTAGTTTTTACTTGATATGCACGATGTGTGATATTTGAAGTCCAGTTTTAGACTGACCATATCGATGAGGTGCTCTCATCAAGCATAGAAGAACTTCACAGCATTCAATATTATCACATGCAGGCAAACGATCAGTGTAGGACTGGTCATTTGACTGTCCAAGCCTGAGAGTGCCGCGTAACGAACTTCGAGTGATCCTGCACTGCATGTCAGGCTGTTAAGTTGCCGGCGGATTAGAAGTGAGTGCTTCTTAATCAAGACCCTTAGATTGATAATCAAAAAACTCACTGGTTTGAGAGAGTCTACAGTCGTCAGAATGAAACGACTTGAAAAAAACTGGTAAGGAATATATTCAAGGCAACGTATTATTACCAATACCCATTTTCTGTCGCTACTCATTCTGGAAACCCAAGAAAAAGCCTTGCTACTCTGAATGTGAGGCTTCACTGATTTGTCTTATGATTGCAGAGTTTATGGACTAGTGATATCATATGCAAAAAGACTTGAAGCTTTTGGTCGGCTAATGACTATTCCAAGCGTGAGAATTTATCAATTCATCGCCACGGCCATACTTATTCGGGTTCTCCCCCTAGCATATGACCTCCAGGTCACAGATGTATGTGCTTATCTCTTTGATGTGATAGCTCTATTTTTTGTATCCCATATCTTGACACAATTTCAAGATAATTGAATGATGAAGATGAACTCCATGTTTGCTCATCCATCGGAACTATCTATAGAATCATGACATGTGCATAGGCACCACTACGTGGAGTTGAGGTCCTCTTACCCTGTATCTTTTATAAAACTATGCTTCGTGCAACAATAACCTACCTAAATATCTCTTGGATGCCTTTTGTTGAAACGCAGGTTGTGCGATCAAAAGATTCTACCTTCATTTCAGTTTCTGCAATGGGTTAGCTTTCAACAACCACTGGCATGGCTGGTATTTTCCCCCTGTGCTGTACCGAACTCGAGCGCTGGATCTTTCGAATATTGTCATATGACCTCGAGTGCACATGGTCCTTGTTATCTATCTGCCTCATCCTACTTGCACAACTGTACTTTTCAGAACTTCTTGTAGGATGTGGTAAGGAGCTACGTCTCTATGTCAAGCTGTGTTGATGCTGGGAATTCAGCTAATGCTATGCTGGAGTAGCACATGATTACATGGTTATCTATTGGCCGTTTATCCAGCAAATCCGTCACAATCAAACCCTGATACCGCTCGATCATGCAGTATATTCTCAAAAGTACTCGTAGTGCAACGCACAAATAGACGTGAGTAATTTATGAGCAATTTTGTTCGCCCATCATTATGAGTACTTCGTTGTACCGATAGTTTATCCTGAGCGATTCCTTCAATTGAGAAAATAAAGAATACAATCTACTGTGTGGCTAAAAGATCCATACACTAATATTTACACTACTAGTAGCAAAGACAGACACACGAGAAAAGAACTTCTTCCATGACTTTAACTTATCGTTACAGTTCTCCATATCCGTACATTACTCCTTATAGAGGGCAAAAAGTGAGGGGAAAAAAAGAACAAGCCACGAATGACTCGGTGAATACAAATAAAGGCGTGACCATACAAGTTCAAGAGCTCTCTGCCACTTTCTTCTTGATGACATCGACAACACCGGGTTCCGCGACTGTGCTAAGATCACCCAGCTGGTCGCCTTCACCTGCAACTATCTTGCGCATGATGCGTCGCATGATCTTACCAGATCGTGTCTTGGGCAAGTCGCTGACGATGAAAATCTTCTTTGGGGCTGCGAACGGTCCGATGACCTTGCGAACCTGCAAGACAAGCTCTTTTGAAAGTGACGCTTCGTCATTAGGATCATAAGAGAACTCCCTGATGATATGGTCGTATAATTAAAACAGCAGCAGCGAAGAAAGGCAAACTTACGGCTTCAAGGTGACGAAAGCATATACCGCTTGACCGGTAAGTTCATCTGCCGTGCCAATAACTACAAGTGCATTATACTCAGTCCATGATATAAATGTAGCTGATGCCTCACATACCAGCAGTCTCAGCAACCCCCTTGTGGAGAATAAGTGCTGATTCAATTTCAGCAGTGGAGAGACGGTGACCAGAAACATTGATCACATCTGTAGCAAGCGTATTACGGGCACCAAACATTGGCAAGAAAGAACAAGAAACATACCGTCGATACGTCCTTTGATCCAGATGTATCCGTGTTCGTCCCTGGCAGCGCCGTCGCCAGTGTAAAACATGCCCGGATAGGGCTGGATAAAACCTTTGAAAAACTGCGAACTTCCCAAAAAGCAGGAAATTCACCTTCATGTAGGTATCGAGGTACCTGTTGTGATCCTGGTAAATCGTCCGTGCGATTGAAGGCCAAGGTGTTTTGAGTACAAGTACACCCTCGACGTTGTTACCCTCCAATTCCTATATGCACGGAAGATAAAGCGCCCGATCTTGGAGCACATAGTGTAGCAACGTACCTTGCCTGAAACTGGGTCCAGAATTGCAGGTTCAATACCAAAGAACGGAACTGTGGCCGATCCTGGTTTGGTCTCGATGGCCCCAGGGAATGGAGTAACAACGATCGATCCTGTCTCCGTTTGCCTGGTAAACGACGGATTAGCATCGCTATGCATACATGCTAAGATATGCGTACCAGAAAGTGTCAACAATCGCACACTGCTTACCACCGACATGTTCATTGTACCAGTTCCATGCTTCTGGGTTGATGGGCTCGCCAACACTACCGAGTACACGAAGACTGCTCAGGTCATGTCCTTCAACATGGTGCGCGCCCAAACGGCGTAGCAACCTGATGGCAGTCGGAGCTGAGTAAAATTGTGTTATTTGGTGTTTTTGCACGGTTTGCCAATAACGCGCTGGAGTGGGATATACTGGAGTCGATTCAAAGACGGTGGTACTAACACCGTTTGCGAGAGGACCATAGACGATATACCTACAATCATAACGCTAAAAAACCAGGAATTGATCTAAAAGATAAATACATACGTGTGCCCAGTGATCCAACCTATATCGGCCATACACGCAAACTTGTCATCCGGATGGATATCGAAGACATATTTCACCGTCAGTGCTGCACACAGGAGATATCCACCTGTCGTGTGCACGACCCCTTTGGGCTTACCGGTGGAACCAGACGTCTGTAACTGGAGCTTTAGCATCTATCGCAAGTACGCGTGCAAACATCCTTACGTAAAGAATAAACAGAGGATCCTCCGATGACATTACCTCGGGCGGGCAGTAGTTGGGCACTTTGAGTGTCTCCTCGTGCCACCACTTGTCCCTACCCTCAGTCCAGGGTACCTCATTTCCTGTTCGTTTTAATACGAGGACGTGTTCGACATCAGGGCACTCTTTGAGTGCAGCATCGACGATCATTTTTGTTGCGATCGACTTTCCTCCTCGGCGACCTTCATCAGACGTGATGAGAACACGGGACTTACAGTCCTGTACACGATCGCGGAGGGATTCAGCGGAGAAACCAGCAAAAACCACCGAGTGGACGGCGCCGATACGCGCACACGCAAGGAATGCCGCAACAGCTTGCCATGTCATGGGCAAATAGACGGACACGGTATCGCCGCGTTTGATACCAAAGGATTTGAGTACATTGGCGATGCTGCAGACTTCGCGTAAGAGCTCTGCATATGTGATGAGTTTGCCTTCATTTGGCTCATCTGCTTCATAGATAATGGCTGTCTATTTTAAGGATCAGGGATCTGCGTTAAGGAGGCGATCAGTATTGACTGGTGCAGACCTTATCTGGGTGCTTGAATGCCCATCGATCGACACAATTGTAGGAAGCGTTGAGGCCACCCTCAGGGAACCAGGCGATGTCTCCTGTTTCGAAACCTCCTGCCCTTACGGTATGGAATGGGCGATCCCAGTAGAGTGTTTCTCTAGCCATCTAGACATTTTGATATAGCCATATATCGCTCATTACCGGGTAAGATGGATCTAAGCGATTGGGAGAACACACCTTTGCCCACCATTTATCAGATTCGTGTCCTACTGTTTCCTTGTGTGCGGTCTTGTATGCATGGTGGTCAGGCCCAACATGCGGCTTCTTGTGACCATTCTTGAGGCGAGGAGCGACTGGATGGATGGGGATTTCCGTAGTGAGCTCAGCCATAGTTTGGATATGGGGAGAAGTCTGATCGGTGAGAGGGCCTCTTACTTTATGGGAGGCGGATGTCCGCTCACCAGGCCACGGGGTCCTCTCTTGGCCCTGTGGCTGACGGTCACATCGATAACACCCAAGGCGAATCGACGCACGCTCTTTTCATTATTACTGCAATCACCCTACATATCGTACAAAAGTGTATACATCCATTCTCTTAAGCCCATCTCGTGCGGAGCAAAAGCGGACTTGGCTTTAAAACGGACTGGACTGGCTCAGACAACGAGGCTGAGGCGAAAGAACGGAGGAGACTCACTGAGAATGTGCTCACGCGTTAACCTTTCCTGGTTTAGAGTCCCTTCTGTGCTTCCGATGTTGTTTGTCCAGCACTCGCTTTGAGTTTTGGTGGTTACTCTATGTCTGGTTGACAGGCAAGTCTCTATTGTATGTTTGCGGAATGTGTGTTTACTCGATGCGTTGATAACTTGTTGCATGCGCAGTTGTCTTTGTACAGATTCAAACTCGAGACGCATTAGAATCTGATAAGGGATGAATCGCATCTCAACAAATTATGGCACGCCGATATGCGGGTACCGCGTTCCTCTATCGAAGCTACACTGTACTAGTTCTAATGCCGACCGGTCATCGTTCGCTTCTTTCCATGTCTCAACGTCGGTGCCTGGTCTGCGCAGATGGTAAAATATCCACGTGCGGTGGACTGAAAGGCTATTGGATGCCATCAGGGCGAGTGAATGGCTAAAATTTGACACCTACTCAGCTTTGGATAAGTATAAGTACAAGTATTTTGAGTGAAACCCGAAAAGGATCTAAATGAAGCAATATTTGCTTCCGCAGCACACTTTGTTGAAGCCTCAAGAGCTCTGATCTGCTACTTAGGACTGTCTCCAGAAGATCAGTCTGACGACTTGCCAAAAAAAAAGAAGCTCCATCTCGACCATAGAAGTCACTGTTGTCAACATGTCAATGTCATGCCCAGAATGTCACAAGGTCCACATGGCCAGGCTGTGCTGAAACTACAAAATTGATGCCGAGGCTGAGAGGTAGTTCTCTGAACTGATCAACGTTCTTCGGGATGGTGCGTGGTTTCTAAGTTATTGAGTGCAATCGTTGGTTGCGATCACAGCAATTCGCTCTTCTCTTTTACTCACATATCCGGCTATGCAACGAGACTCTGGTGGCATTGCGCTATCCCCGTAGGAATCCTAAGGACTTGGAAGAACAAAAGCGGGCTCCTCACCATCACTGTCATGCACCACTACTAGATCCGAACTATTGCCATCACGGCATCGCAGTCATCTTCCTCGGTGTTCATGTAAGCAGTAGATGCACTGTAAGCACTTTTTTGTGGCTGCGGATATAGATTGCAATGATTCTGATCTGGATTCTTAGAATATGACCACTATCAGTAACGCTGGGCGCTGATGACCGGTATGGCTGTGGCAGGGTTCCTCGGCGACACGAAGCACCACCCCAAAGCATGGAGCCTCTAAGGTCATATGTATAGCCTGATTCGACTACTGGCGTAATATAGTAATGGGAAATTCACACAGTAGTCCCATCGGCGCCGGACATGGCGTCTTAAAATAAGCGCATCCAGGGTATCGTATTTATCCCCTATAGTAAAGGATACTAGCCTGTGGCCGTTTCTGATTAAACGTTACATAGGCAGATAAGCATTTTGTCTTCTAATCACCGTCAAAGAGATATCGCTCCTTCACCTACTACAACTCAAATCGCATATTGGCATCCCAATTCATCACCATGCCCAGTAATAACTGTAGTGCGATCTTGAACTTCGATGCAGCAATGGCGTACCTTCCACCCGACACAGCATACCAGGTACAAGTAGGAGCAAATCTAGTAGTTGGCTCGCTGGGAGTATGCCCTTGATAAAAATCTGTATATTCGTATTCGTTTGACCATACTCTTTGTCTGACAGGCTATGGCCTGGGATTTCCTCACCAATCTCAATGGAGACTATCAGCTACTCTTCAAGCATAGGATCAAGTTACCGACCTTGGTGTATTTTTTCTCAAGGTGAGATTTATCGACAATTTGCAGAAACGAAGGGAAACATGACACGACCTAAGAGCGTTATCGTTAGGCTACGTTCTAGGGAGTGCCATCTTTCAGAGTAAGTACAGTACTGGCGGCCACGCGTCTCAGCTGGCCCGGATTCTTGGTGGTCGAACAAATGCTTAGTGTTTCTTTGATTTAGCAACTCCCATTGATCACTGTCAAGCACTAGAACAAACTGTTGACGTGTTTTACGCCTTCGCCGTTCCATTATCTTCTCTTTTGTTCTTCTTCCGTGTTAAAGCAGTTTTTGACAACAACAAGTACATTGTAACGACTGGCTTCATCCTCTGGCTTAGTGTTCTCGCATCATCTTTGTCCATCATCACAGCCGTTCACGCCATCACTATTGGACCTACCTCATATTGCACAGCAGAAAGCCTAAAGTCGTATGCTGGAGCGGCGCCAATAACGGTTCTCGTTCATGATACCTTTGTGTTCATGGCCATTTCATGGCGCCTTCTCTGGACTACTTCAACACACACAGGATTCAAAGGTTGGGCAAGAGCATTTGTATCCGGTGGTTATCTGCCAGCCTTGTCCAAATCCCTGTTACAAGATGGTCAAATGTATTACTTGTGCGTCTATCCGTTGTACCAAGAGAATGTGTGTTGACGTCTTGGCTAGGATCACAGTTGGCGGTAATCTACTGACTGTCATCATGGTTTTCGATAAAAGGGTACCATCAGTGTACCATACGATGTTTACGGTGCCCAATCTTATGCTAACGAATGCGATGGCTTGCCACGTTTTCCGAAGCACGAAGCTTGGTCTCATCAGAGGATTTAGAAATGACTCTAGCCTGCTATCGACTAACCGGTCAATTCACCTTCCTATACATCGACGCACTGCGCGCAGTGATAACATTGAGCTTGACCACGCTTTAGATATCACAGTGACGAAAGTGGTTGAACATGACAGCGACTTCTCCAATTCCATGGGACCGGAATCTGCGTCACCAAAGGATGACTATGGCAACTAAGTTACGATATAGTGGATTCGTTCTCAACTCTTATTGCTGTAATTCTGCTACGGTAATAGTGTAGCGCTCCTTCAGATATTGCATTTATTCCCAAGGTTCTTGAGTTTCGGTGTATTATTGCTACATATTCAGATGTTCTATTAATGTCGAGTTACAATTCACTCATTCCAAATCAGATTACCACATGTTTTGCAATTCCACAAGGCATCCCTCGCTGTTCAAAGCAGCTTGAATAAAAGCAACATCTTCTAGTGCCCCCACGGGACTTCCCAAACCGTCATCCCTCGTCCCAGCAACTGCTGCAAAAAAACTCCCTAACTCAGCTTCCACCCCTTTCACGGGCTCATCAATAATTTCTGTTCTTTCTGGCCCCGGCTTATCGTTCACCTTCGTGACCATTCTGAGATTGATGCGAAGGACCGGGATCTCTATTCCTCCTTGTGTGCCCAAGACTTTGGCCTGTTCCACGGAAAGCCAGCCGTCGGTACCTGTGATTATGATCCTGTTTCCTTGGGAGAGCGAAGTTGCAGGAGCTGCGAAACTCATTTCAAATATGCCGTGTGAACCATCATCTACTTTCACGATTGCGTTGATGGTATCGTGAGGCGGTAGGTACTTCTTGTTCAACGAAGCAAAACTGGATAGATGTGTCATCTTGCCGGGCAACATCACTCTCAGGGCGGCTGTCGAATGCTGTAAATATTTGGATAAGATTATGCCTCATCTCATTTGAGAATTTTACGCACTACTCCACCATCGAGCTATTCATTCCGGGTCAAATACATTCTGATAAAGCATAATGATCACGTACCAAGAAACCACCTTGATACTAAGAACAATTCCCGTTGCTCAGTAGCCCTTTGTCCAACGAGTGACGAACTTACATCAGGTATAGTACGCCACGGTGTTTTGTACCACCGGTTTCCTTTGTCCATATAATTCACTGCTCGCACATGGAAGAATATTACCTTTCCAATCTTTCCATCACGAATGATCTGTCCAGCAGTAATGTAGCCAGGCTCGGACTCGAAATTCTCCGCAATTCTCCACACAAGCCCTTTTGGCTTGTATTGTGTTTCGTAGATTTTGATCAGCCGCATACTCTCTGATACGTCAGGAGCTATCGGTTTGGCGCTAAGTACATGCTTTCCAGCAGCGAAACATTTGAGAATGATGTCCGGCTGAAGAGTGATTGGAAGTACGATGTTTACTGCGGTGATATCTGACCTAGATAGCAACGAGTCTAGGTTTTTCGTAGGGTCGTTATCATGGTAAACATCTGGAACGACCTCCAACTTGAGAGCGACTTCGCGTGCCAGTGCTTGAGAACTGCTCTCCGTACGGGAATATACTGCTTTAAGAGGAAACGCTGCAGCTCCTATCGATACGAGGGCTGGTACATGGGCTAAACGCACACTGTCATTACTATCCTTTGATCATGGTACGAGTTTGAATTAGCATGTACAAACCTTCTTTCGCATAGATACCAGCACCCAGCATGGCGAAACCTGATGTTTTTCTTGTTGACATCCTGATGGGTAGTAACGACGATGGGGGGTATTTTCAACTTCAGGTATGCCGCATCCTTGCTTATTCGAGTTGAAACCTCAGGCTGCCCGTGCGAGGAAGGTAAATTGTCGGACAAGTGCGTGACCTAGAGCTAAGCCACATGAAGTGTCAGGTGGTCATTAGACATTCATTAATAAAATTCGGACCTCTACACCTTTGCATTTCGACGTCTGCCAAAGCCGTTCAGCTCAATGTTGTTGTTCTGTCAAAGTTTGTCGCAAGTGCGAGTTGCTTCGACTCAGAATTCAGTTCCGCGGCGGCATGGATTTGGAAAAGCGCGGCGACTACATTTTACCATAGCGGAAGGATTTCGTCAATTCAAACTGAATAAAATAAATGGCAAAGTATAACAGTGGCATAGTAACAAGAAGTTATAATAAGACGATGAAGACCCAAGTAGTTTGCTCTCTACATTGGCGAAGTTTTCTCGAGATCAATACCTGAACGCCTCGTGACGTTCACTAATAGAGGTTTCTGAAGAGTGGTAGAAAAAACGTGCACCATTTCCTGGAGATACGATTTCGCATCAAAACCTTCGGCTAGCTTCATGTCATAAACAAGTACGAGGCGAGCTATGACCAGTCGCATTTCTTGATGCGCAAAAACTTTACCAATGCATCCGTGGGGACCTGGAGTTAGATTGTACATTAGTGTGAAGGGGTATTGTTTTAGTGATAAACTAAGGTAATAGAGACGAGGATGTGCCAACCTGATGAGAAAGGCATCAAAGCATTTTTATCGGTACTGCATTCCAAACCAAGTGCGCCTGAGATCCATCTTTCTGGGAGAAATTCCTGGGGAAGCAGCACTTGCGTTAGCATATAAAATAGGAAAACCCAGAAAACATGTTCACTTGAGGCGCAGGTGAAAAATAGGCCGGACTTGTATGCAAAGAATGAGTTGCGATTGCAACCACTGTGCCTCCTGGTATATAATTTCCCTCAAGGACCAACCCACCCGGGGGCACAATACGAGGGAGAAAGAAAAAGGTACATAATCGGAGGGTTTCGTTGAGTATAGCGTTGAGGAATGTCAGATTAGCCAGCTTAGTATTATCAAGATGGCCGGTACAATCCGAGAACGCGCCATCCAGCTCCGCCCGAAGCATTTCATAGTATTTTGGCTGTACCAGCATAAAATAAAATGCAAGCGATATGATAACGGCAGTATTGTCTGAGCCTAACAGACAACATTATTGTCATTGAGAAAATATGAACTGATGGTTAGAGTTACCTCCCTGGACTGCTACCGCAGAGTCAAGCTCTAGATCAGCTTGGGACAGTTTTTCTCCTGATTGTGCATCGCCCTCTAACTGATAAGGGTGTAACTAAAAGTGTAAAGACACGCATTGAAGGGCTCACCAGGTATGAGCTAAGATCCCTCATGGTGACATCTTTATCGGCCTGTATTCTGGTTCGTATCATATCTGCTCCAATATCAATCAAGCGGAACAAATATTTGCTCTTCGGAAGGTGCAAAACGAGGTCCATAAGCCAACTTGTGTGTCCAATGCTACGACGTTACCATATGAGTGACGCCCACCAATGAAAAATTAGCACACACCTATCCTGCATTACCATGGCCATCTTTCCTCCGTACACGAGCTTTTCTGGATCCCCATTCGTCATCATCTCCTAAGAACCACGAGTGTTAGATAGTGATCAAGATTCTAAGCAGGAATTTCCTACGAACTATATTATTACAGCCTCCAAACACCATTTCACCCTATCCGAGACGTTTTAAACTACGTTCAAAATACAGGTAGATCAGAAATTTCCTCACCATGAAATCATAAGACCAATGGCAGATACATTCAGAGATATCAACTGTGCCGGTTTTGTTATTGAGTTGCCGTTTTTCGATGCAGTTCATTAATTCCCACAGTCTGCGTTCTAGGGGCGGGAAAAAGTGAGACAACCTGGATGTTAGATTAGATGTAATGATTATGTTCAGTGCAAAGTTGCCACACACGCTGCACTAGTGAACCCTGCAGACCATATCCTCCGTCTATCAGCATGAATCTTCGCTGTTTTCTGTTTATAAAAAAGCGACACGGTATCACCGTGTCCTGGAGCTCTGTACATATCGCTCTTTTCCATATTGAGCTGAGCTCCATATATGCAGGTTGCGGACAACGTGTTGATGGACAACATGTTGGGTCCTAACAAGATGGTTCAGAAATTACACACATGTTTGCCTACATTATCTACCCACCTATCCTCACAAAAGGGCCATATATCTTGTGTAGGCTATCAATGGCGACATGACGTTTTCCTCCAAAAGAGATATAAGAAAAAACAAGATTGCTGATCCACCATGTCCGGGGTCCGGGGAAGGCATAAAGAGGATGGAATGGTGACAATCGGTAGGTGATAGTACACAATATGGCAGAGAATGTATAGATGCCAACAAGCATACAAGTGAACATTGCAGGTGCAAGGCTTGCAGCCGACCATTGACGAGCGGCAACATAGAGACTTCCAAAAACAGCAAAATACAATGCGGCAGCAATGTCACCCCGAATCGAACGTCGGTTCAGGAAAATCCATGTTAACTTTGGTAGACTGATTTCAGTATTCATCATGGATGAACAATGTGGCATATGAACTTGCCAAACCTGCTGCGCTCGCGCCAGCACTTAACACAGGATCATGAAAAACCATATCAGTGAAGTTTCAGCTAGTAAAAAAAAGGCAGTATATGTTGAGCATGTAAAGGACTAGAAGGGTAGCTACATACGCGCGCCAAGTGAAAAGGAGAATCTACCATGTAGCGGCTTTGTGTCTACCTCTTATATACTAAAGGTGGGTGAATCTTGGTACAGTTATCTTCCAGCACATGTTCAACATCACGTTAATTATGTGAACATCGATCGATAAGCCGCTTCGTTGGGCGAAAGGTGACTCACAACTTGGTCTAACGCCAGAGCATTTACTCTCCGCATTCAGTACTCTGCTTGGCATTCTCGCTGTTTGCGGTTAGTAATTCAATACACCTGATCCATGGCAAGTAATATATACGTACGACGTTATGCCCATGTACGTCAGACCTTGCGCCATATCATACATTTGAATCATGTTATCTGAAAACGGTTTGATTCTATCGGAGTCTGACCCCCCATCTGGCGATGTATTGAGCAGGCAACAGGCAGTCATGACAGCGGCAGAGAGGAATGCCATGTTAAGTGTCGACATGTCATCTCGTTCATCATTGTATATCCGTTCTCGGGGTTCGTCATACTATAAACTCACCGTACTCATTGACACCATCCCGATCCCGTCGGTGAACTCTAACGTTGATCAAGATCACGCGTGTCCTATCAGCTACATGCTGTTACTTTACTCCAGTCATATGCTCCTGATGGGATGCATTAATGTGCCTATGTAACAAGATTAGTATGAGAAGATAATGTATCATATACGACATACTGGATATATGAGAGGGGCCAGCTAACAAGGAGGATGAGCCCTGGAAGCGCTGGATAGCCCAATTGGTGACAATTCATGATATAACCTCAGACTCACAGTTGCAAAACACTGTAAGAGCCCTGGGCGTACCCTTTGGTATAAGTCCAAGTACCATAAGTAGGCTGGACATTAAATGACAACTGTGCCATCTCTTTAACGCGAGTGCTGAGCGCTGACCATGACCGTTGAGCGCAACATTGACTCAGAACAGCCACTGTCACGGCGGCGAGCAAATCCAAGTAGTAAGCGTAGCACGTGATAAGCATCCTTTTTATTGGGAGAGTCAACCGGTCTTCATTCCTATACAATAAATATCTCAAACGCGTTAGAACACGCAAACAAACCAATGTCTAAACCTCGGCTGACGCGCTCTCAAGCCTCGTCTTCACCCAGAAAGCCATCCTTGACGTCAGCAAAGCAAAAGCGCAAGTTGCATGAAACCAGAGATATTAACGAGGAGCCTGAAACTTCTCAAGAAAGCGATGCCCATGTTTCTTCTGGCGCTCTGGAGTTTGAAGATATTAGTGACGAGGACGACGTGAAATCACTGCACAGCGACGCGCTCGACAATGAATCCGATTCTGATCTGAAGAAAGCGCGTACACTAAAGCGAAAACGCGGATCCCTGCCAAAGCAAAAGGAAACAAGCAAGAGAACTACGCACAAAATATCATCTAAGAAGAAGAAGACTAAAACTAAGACGACCTCGAGTGACGAAGACGAAGGACGGGGAACTAGTAACGAAGAAGAGTCTGGTCTCAAAGATGGACAAGAAATTGTTGGTGTCGTTGTACGGGCTCCTAAATCTGGCTGGGGTGAGTCTCAACTGCACAAGATAGTATATACATGGCATATATGGTCTATTTGCTATTTGGATGTGTTTAGTGCCTGAAGGACAAATCTCGCAGAACACTCTCGATTTCCTAACACAACTCAAAGATCCTGTGTGCAATGATCGCGAGTGGTGAGTGCAGCTCAGATATACGTGCAAGGATCACTATATACAGTCTGGCCCTCTTGTCAGGTTTAAATTACATGGTGAGTTCCTACCCCTTTTTGCACTCGTTTCTTAGCGACTTTAACTCCTCAGAACCCGTCTATCGCCGAGCTGAAAAGGAATGGAAAGCTTTCATTGATGCATTTACAGAAGTGCTCATACAAGTTGACCCACAAATACCTCCTCTACCTCCAAAGGATGTCACTCACCGAATATACCGTGATGTACACACCATCCATAGCAAGTGGCATACTGATTGTGCAAACATCATATACTAGGTTCGGTTTAGTAATGACAAAACACCCTATAAGAAGGGTTTCTCTGCTAGTTTCTCAAGAAGTGGACGGAAAGGTATATTTGCGTGCTGTAGGTGTCCTTCCTGTATGTTTTTGATCAATACTGATCTAACCACAACCAGACCACGTGTCGGTATTCTCTCCGCCATACTGCAGAGTCATACTAATTTCCTCATTTATGCTTGTAGACTGAGTGTGTTTGAACACTGTCACTGTGGCATATGATGTGTTTAATCACTAACCTCCTTTTTTTTGCAGTCAAACCAGGAGATGAGAGCCTCCTTGCAGCGGGTTCATGGTGCCCGGGCAAAAACGAATTATCGACAATTAGGTCCGCAGCTTTATATGTGATGTGAATATGATGATATAGCTTCGATTAGAAATCACATTTTACACTCTTCCGCTCGTCTGCGGGAGATACTCGCCGAACCTGCTTTTGTTGAACTCTTTGGCAAGGCGTCTCCTCTTCCGAATGGAGGACGACAAAGCATTTTTGGAATGGAAGATGAGCTCAAAGTTGCACCGAAAGGCATAGATAAAAATCATAAGTGAATTCCAACGATTCTTCACATGCACGATTTGCCTATGCTAACATGCGTTACTTCAGAGACATCGATCTGCTTAAATGCCGTACATTCGCGGTGTCGTATAAGTGGGCTTTTGCCATCACTTCGCCTTAATGTATTCTGAACTTTGGTTTCCATAAATTCTGTAGGTTCACCGATAAACAAGTATTAGCGCCTGATTTCAAGGAGGAAGTGGGCAGGATTGCAAGTGTAGTACAACCTTTCGTGCATTGGTATGTTGTAACCTTCATTTTTGTGAAGTTGCATTTGTTTCCTAGAGTATACTGATTTGACTGTGCCTCAATCAGTCTGAATGATATGATGACCCTTCCCGTTAGTGATAGTTCGGATGGAGAAGAAGACAGAGACAATAGTGATGATGAAGCACTTTAGGTGGAGGTCTTCTGTTTAGTTCAGCATTTGTGCAGGTTTATCACTGTCAAATTTCTTATGGCTTTACTACTACAGAGTTACTTGCCGACATATTGAATTGTACATTTATCTCCTCGATAACACATATGGCAGGTTGTTTTCTTACCATTTTCCTGAACTCGTAGGATCAGGCTTACATTTCGCAATTGAAAGTTCTTCCGAAAGCTTTTATACCTCTTATGTAGTGGGCCATTCCCAAGGTGGTATCAATTCGTTGCAACGACCGTCATGCTGAATATATAGAAAGCGCTGCAAGGGAAATTTGTCAAAGTCCCTGTGGAAACAGTAACTTTGGCTGCATGTCCTCCTCTCCAACTGCCTCGCCTGTTAGTCGTCAAGTCAAACTTTGGCTTAGTATGTAATGTAGCCCCCGATACTTCAGTTTCAGGATTGACTGCATGGTGATTATCTGGTGCCACTTGCCTCCAAATCTTGCGTTGTGATTTGTTGAGATAGTGAATCAATGGGAGAGAACCGCAGAGAAAGTTGGTTGCAAGTAGCAAGTTGGAATGACATTGTACCAATCTTTTTCTCCTTTTTCGGGATATTTGCTCGTTCGTTGAACCTATCAGAGACATCAGCACAAGGTCCGGGTGTTTGTTATGGTACATACATGACAACTGAAATCGCATTAACATCATGCGTTCCACGTTAGCTGAAATCACTCACGAGTAGTATTGACATAAATGTTGACCGTATTCATATGGAAAGGCAACCTGCACATCAGTGCCAGTCAGCCCATAGTTTGAGTGAATGATGAAGATGTGCGAAGGTGCATACCAATACCAGGACTCCTGAGCTGCAACCCATAGAGTCAACATAGCACCTTGCGTTGACACCAGGAGTAAACCACGATTAAGGATAAGGAATTTGAGAAATTTGACAGTGCTATCCGTCCTATATTGAAATTTCATTCATATTGACTCAACAACAAAATGATAGATGCGGCGTACTTTTTGAAGCCACTCCCCACAGAATCAAGAAAATACCACATTGCAATTGTTGCGATGATATCACAAGCGGTTGGGATCGATATACAGATCTCAGCCATCATCTGTATAGATCAGAATTATGCAATGGAGTGTCAAGTAAAACCACATACATTGAGCGGCTTACTGTTAGTATAGGCGAGACTGTTATGTGTGGCTAACAAGACGGTTAAAGCTAAAAGGCATCAAATGCTTAATCATTTGAAGTCTGTATGTCAAAATCCATGACATACCAAGCCCACAGCCTGATAAAGCCACAAACGTGAGATTTATTCATTTTTACCAGTACAAGGCACTTACCGAGGAACACCTACGCTAAAATGAACACTGTCATGAAATAGCAGCAACTGGTTGAGCTCACTATAAAAGCGGCCACAATCCACGTCTTCCTACTGCTAACTGTTCAGTGTTAGACGTAGAGGATTGAGGCGTGAGGGCAAGCAGTCACGAAGCGCCTAGAAAGGAAGGAGTATAAGTTAAGGTGGTCTGTGCACCAATATATCCCATCAGTAAAATTTTTGGTTCCGTCTTACTTATAAATTGGCCTGGTCGCCACGTAGCACCTCAGACTCATCTACGAGTTCTGAGGTGAGACCCTTATTTTCCCCCCTTTGAATACCTAGCTAATCATTACTATAGCTCTTATCTTATCTAGGTACTTAGTTGAATATATCCTGAGACTCATCTACGAGTTCTGAGCTCTTATCTTATCTAGATCAAACCCGAACAATTTCAGTATATTCCCGTACGGAGAGCAGTTCTCAAGCACTGGCACACGAAGTCGCTCTCAAGTTGGAGGTCGTTCCGGATGTTTACCATGATAACGACCCTTTGAAAAACCTAGACTTGTTGCTATCTAATAAACCTAAGTGAAATTCAGCCGCTGCCCGAAAGGCTATAGAAACGACTGAGGTATTCCTATACTAAACCCCCTACTACTTATAGTCGGAGGTGCTACTCCCTACAGTATAATGACTCCTAGGAGAACAATGGCTGCTTTGGCAGAGACCGGGTTTTCCGGTTTTGTCACTTCCACTCGAGTGCAACCATAGTCCCATAGCTTTAGAGAATTTCCAGTGTTTTTCGTGAGTGAGGGGTGTAGTGAGAATGTCGGCAACCATATCTCCTGTAGGAACATATCTGATTACTGCCTCTCCCTTTGATACTAAGTCATCTCGGATAAAATGATATTTCTGTTGAATATGTTTTGTGCGAGCACAGAACTGCAGATCTCGTGTAAGAATAATAGCTGCCTGATTGTCACAGTGTAATGTTGTAGGTCCATTTTGAGCATGTCCAATTTCTTCAAAAAATGTCCGAAGCCATGCAAGGTGTTGTCCAGCATTGCTCAATCCAATGTACTCTGACTCCGTGGAGGATAAAGCGACCATGCTTTGTCTTTTGCTTGTCCAGGAGATTGCTCCTCGGATGGTGATAAAAACAAAGCCTGATGTTGATTGAGATGTGTCTGGGTCTCCAGACCAATCTGCATCTGAATATCCATAGAAGTACATGTTCATGGAGACATCTGTGCCATCATATTGTAGTTCCATGTCCCTGGTTGCTTTCAGATATCGGAGGACACATTTTGCAGCTTCCCAGTGATGGCTCCTTGGAGCTGAGCTATGCCTGCTTAGTATTCCAACAATGTAGGCAATGTCTGGGCGGGTTCCGAGCATGGCATACATGAGGGAGCCTACAATTGAGAGGTATGACACTTGACGCCCTTCAATATGCATCTCATGTTGCACAATATCTTCCCCTGGAGCATTTGTGAGGAGTTTTGATCCATGGGCCATTGGTGTCCATACTGGTTTGCAGTTCTTCATTCCAGTACGCTCCAGGACTGTGTCAATATATTGGCATTGCAATAGGGATATTGTTTTGTTTGAACAATCACGTTGGATTTTTATTCCAAGGATGTATTTTGCTTGTCCAAGGTCCCGCATTTTGAATATGGATTCAAGTTTGGCTTTTGTGATATCCATGAATTTTCGGGATGAAGCTCCTAGGAGGAGGTCATCTATATAGACAACAACAAAGCATATTTGTTTGTTGTCCCAGAATACATAGAGACATGTTTCTGCATTTAGTCTTGTGAAACCGAGCTCCTGGAGCTTGCGATCAAAAGTTTCGTTCTATGTACGACCAGCTTGTTTTAACCCGTAGATGGATTTCTTCAATCTCCAGCAGTATCCAGGTTGGATAGGAACACCCCCTGGAGGAAGCATGTACAGTTCTTCTTCAAGTTCTTCATTGAGATAAGCTGTGGATACGTCCATTTGATCAAGTTCTAGGTCGTACTTTGCTACCAGGGCTAGAATAATTCGGATTGACTCTAAGTTTGCAACTGGAGCAAAAACCTCCTGGTAATCAATCCCCTCCCTTTGAGTAAAACCTCGTGCAACAATCCGGAGTTTGTATCTCTCAATGTTTCCGTTTTGATCAAACTTGATCCGGAACACAGGTTTTGATGTGATGGGTTTTACTCCCTTCGGAAGTGGAACAGTGTCATATACTGCATTAGTAATGAGACTTAGGAGTTCCTCTTCCAAGGCAGACTTCCATAATTCTCCATCCAGACATGATAAGGCTTCCTTTAGTGTCCTTGGAAGGTCTGTGTTAGATGGACCGATACTTGCTATTCCAGCAAAAAATGTCTCCTCTGTATCAGATGTTTCTTCATGAACCTCAGGAGTGTTAGGTTTCTCCATGAAGTTGTCATGCTGCTCTTTTCGAGACTGTTCCTCATCTAGAGTCCTTTGATAATCTCGGTTTTTGTCTGCAGGACGGGTCTGGCGACTGCTTCTGCGTACTCCTAGGACTTCAGCAGGCATGACTGCTTTTTTAGGAACTTGTGCAGGTACTCCAGGGAGTAGACACATTTGTGTATTTGTTGCCCCACTCACTCCTGAAGGTGTTGGATGACTCCTTGGAGGTGTTGGATGCCTTCCAGAAGCTGATCCGATGGACAGGCTGTCTAGCTGTATTCGGACTTTTTCCTCATCAGCTGGCTGTATATTGTGGGGCTGTCCTCCCACTGACTGTGACTCTACTTTGGGTTTCCATTCTAAAGATGGCCAGTGTTTGGGTCTTGGTTGTAGAGACTGTTGTAGAGGGTGTCTTAGCTGATCAGGTGCTCCCACTGCTCTCAGAACATCTCCACGGAGGTAATGCCCCACTGCTCTCGGAACATCTTCATGCTGATATGGTTTCATGTCTTGTGGAACATCTCCTTGGAGATGTGTGTTACAATAACACAATTTTCGGACCTTTCCTTTGATCTCCATTCTGCTCTTCAACTTTCTACTGCAATTTTCACACTCTGTGCCATGTGGCACTTCCCCTTTTGTTCAAACTCCTCTTTTTTGCGCTGCGCTGCCTTTTTCTTATTTTTAGCTACAAGTCTCTCACACAGTGGAGCTGGTCACACAGGCTGCGCCCTCTGACATCATCAGCCACTGCTTTTATCAACTGTACAGTACATAGGTACAAACACTCTATAGTAGTATATATACCCCAATAGATCAAGGAGACTCCTCAGCGAGTCCTCCTGTTGTATCCTCACAACTAACTCACTGCAGCCTAAAGGGTAACCACTCCCTCATCACCACCTTTATAGTGTTTTAGTGTGGTCCAGAGATAACTCTTGGTTGTTACAATGTGGTTCCATTTGCAATTCATTTGGATTTTGGATCCGAGGGGTCAGGATCATCCTCCTCCAATGTATTTTGGTCTGGATAGTGAGCATTCTCTGGGATGAGTCCCTCCCACTGATCTGTGCTAGGGTCTGTGTTCCAGGGAGCAGTGTTGTCCTTTGTACCTTTCTGGATTCATTCAATATGACATGCCAACTGGAAAACGCAGTTTGTTTTTCAGTGTCTAGGAGTTTGTAGGCTTGCTTTCCATGTGTGTAGCCAATCATTATGGCTTTGCACCCCTTGGAGTAAACTTTCCCTTGCCTTTTGTCTTTCGGAATCAAGGCATATGCTTGGCATCCAAAAGGGCGAAACAAAGTTGGATCAACTCTCCTTTTAAACAGTATTTCATATGGGGTCTTTCCATGGAGTCCTGATGCTGGGCTGCGTGCTGTGATATATGCAGCTGTTTGCATGGCATCTACCCAGAATGACTTTGGGAGCTTGGAATCATGGAGCATAGTGGTTGCTAATGTAGCCAATGTCTGATTCATGCGTTCTGCAATGCCATTTTGTTCCGGAGTATCTGCAGCTGTAGTTTCTTGGATGACACCATCTCCTCGGAGTTGATTTTTGAATGCATTGCCAGTATATTCTCCTCCCCCATTGCTCCGGAGGAATTCTGTGTATAGTGGAGTGAAGTTTTCTTCTCCTAAATGAGTCCGGAAGAATGTTTGGACATCTTCTTTTCATTGCTTGTATCGTTCCAGTGCTTCACTTTTATGTTTTAGGAAATATATCCATGGAAATTTGGAGAAATCATCTACAATGATAATCCAGTACCAAAAACCCTCCCTGGAAGTTGGTTTGATTGGTCCTCCAACATCTGTGTGCACAATTTGTATGGGGCGCTTGGCTCGGTTTCCTCCAGTGGACTTGAAAGGTAATTTCTTCATTTTTCCTAAAGCACAAGGTTCACAAAACTCCGGGGTTCCGGTAAGGGTGTCTATGTCCTGGAGCTGTCTTTTTGTAACCATTCGTTGCAAGCAGTCCATTCCAATGTGTCCCATTCTCCTGTGTAATAAATTTACATCTACTACTGCAAAAGCTGACTCCGGGTTGATTTCAGGTTTTGCTTGGATGTGATAAAGTCCTCGCTTGTGTAACGCAGTGAAAATAAGTTCCTCCTTTTTCCGAACTTCACAAGCATTTGACCTTGCTGGAAAAAGTGTTGATAACCCCGTTTTGGACAATTTGTGGACAGAGACGAGCGCTAACGTGAAGTTTGGCACAAGTAAGACATTTGACAGTGCAATATTGTAGTCCTTTTTGCCAACAGTTGCTTGTAGAATTACTGTTCCAATGCCAATGGCATTTACAGAGGATTCGTCCCCAAAACTGATTGTCCTCGGAGGATGCAGAACATGGTATGTTCCTGGCTCAAACCAGGAGCGGTGAGGGACCATGTGGGATGTTGCTCCAGAGTCAAAATAATTGTTGTTTTGGCCTTATCGGGTTCCGACACAAGGTAAGCTTGAATGCGTTTAGCAAGGGGCTTGGAAATATGTACATGATCCAATGCAATATGACTCAGTTCCTCCTCGGAATCAGATCTGGATGATTGCTCCGCTGTATTTGCCTTTTCCTTCTCTTTTCCTTTATCCTTGTGTCTTTCCTTTCCCTTCTTCCTTTGACCTTTTTCAGCTGACTGAAGTGTTTGACACTCCAAGGTGTTGTGTGATTTGGCTTTGTGGAAGTTCCACCATTTCTCCTCGGATTTGAGTGCTGGTTCAG